AAAGGCTTTTTTTCGATGTGTATAAGTAAAATTTTTGGCTTCGTGTTTACAATAGTCGATAATTAGAGACGAAAAATATATTAGATGAATACAGTTTGTAGTTAAAATTCCTGTCTGTTCCGCAAGACATAAGCGAATTTCTTAAGCGTCTTTTTTAAGGCATAAAAATAATTGAGGGAAATTTTAAAATGTAAGTTTAAAAAAAAAACCTAAAAGCAATTTAAAATGAGCTGATGAAAACCAATTATTAAACATAAAAAGTAAATGATTTAAATTAAGACTGTTGCCAAGAAACTTGAAGTAGGGTAATGGTTTGACCGAAAATTATTTTTAAAATCTATAAACTCTGATATGGATTTTTTCAGAATCTTTTCATATTGCTTAGCCCATAAAAACAGCCCTAAATAGTGAAAATCGGTTGGCGAAAGATCTGGTAAATAAGCTTATTCACTTTCCGATCATATATAAACGGCTTTGATTTTTTTATTATTCAGAGCAACTTTTTTACAAGCAGACGAACATAAAAAGTTTCTTTTTTTTTACAAGCAAACGACATACGGTCGGGATAGCCTGGTTGGTAGGGCATTGGGCCTTTGTCCAAGAGTTCGTGGGTTCAATCCCCGCGTAGTAAATGGTGACTGCTGCACGTTAAATCTGTCGAGTCGCGAAGTCTTCCATGTTCCCATAACAAATCACACCTCTGGGGGTACTGATCCAGAAGTTTCCTTGTCTTTTGGAATAGTTCAAAATTACAAGGCTACGGAGTTGTACATTAGTAGTCGTAAACTCAAAATTGGGTCGGATGTTCAACGACGGATACAAAAAATATAAAATAAAAGCAGATGACATAGAGCTATCACCTTCCAAACCGGGTTCGAATCCCAGTGGCTAGTTAATACGACTAACCGACCACAGCGCTGGCGTAAAATATTCTGAGTGATAGCGGATCATGGGATAGAGTACCCTTGTCGTCAAGCTACCCGGGTGAGGCTTTCGTGATTTTCCTCTTCATGTAATGCGGGTTGCTGTTTTGTTTTTATAATTTTTATATTTTCTAATAACCAGCCAGCTTTTATAGCGGTCTCCTTTATCGTTTAATATAAATTTTCTACATTGAAATTGCTTTTTTTTAAAAAAACTAATAAAAATTTAAAATTTCTGAAATATTTAAATTATATTTATTCTTCAACAGAACTTGACCTCTAGACAAATCACGAAGACCCGTATCGGAAATTAAACAAAGAATTGTGAAACGAATTTTATAATTGCATCAGTATTAATTCAGTGACTAGTTTGTAAAAGACATCAAAATGGAGGCCTTAATACTTCCATGTAATGCGGCTTAGTTCCATCAAAAAGTCTTCCATGAAGGGAAATTTCTCTCAGGAGTTCTGGAGTATAGGATACAAGGAGTATAGGAAAGGATATGAATAGGTATCTAGGAGTTCCCTTGTCTTTTGGATTGTATTCAAAATTACAAGGCTATGGAACATTGGTAGTCATCAACCCGAAATTGGATGCGCTGTTCAACGATGGTTATAAAAAGAGAAGACATAAGCATTAAGAGGAGAGTATGAAAATAAGACAGTCTGGAAAATTTCATATCATGTATTAAAATCTCGTTGTATTGAAGCAGATGGAGCATATTTTGACTAAACAAACAGCTTTAAAAAATATGCAGTTTTAGATAGTCACTTAAAAACCAGACATTTCATTCCACTACCCCAATAGTACAACACCTCCTTATAAAAAAAAAAGTCACAATTTATTTCTTCTTCTGGAAATTTTTTTTTTAAAGCATTAAAAAATGTTGATCAAAACAGTTTTCAGTCCAAGTGTTATTTTAAATATTTATATAAAAATAAAACTTAAAATTTAATAAAATATTTACAGAAAGTACATAAACAGGCTTTTAAATGTTTATTTTAGAAAGATTAATGATTTGCTTGCAGGTATCAAAATCTTTTTCACAACCGCAAAATTCACTTACGCATTTCCCCTTGTAAAAATTTTCAAAAATGTTTTTAATTATTTTAAAAAAAAATTACATTTTCATTGTTCTTAAATCTTTGTGAAAAATTTATTTTCCTTATTAAAGATAATTTGAATGTACAGTAATATCCAGATTTTGAAATTATCATTCCCACAAAATAAATTATGTTTTGAGACACATCGAGCAAAGATTACACATATATTGAGACTATAACAAGATTGTATCTGAAGTGTAGGTTTTTGTTTAAAATTTTCTGTTAATGACCTAAATACTTTTAATTAAAGATATGCAAACAAAATCATAATATTAACATTTTTGTACAAAAAGAAAATTGTAATTTTTTTGCTGCCTAAAAACAAATTTGCATAGTTGAATAAGTATTAAAAAAAATCACATACTAAATAGTTCTGAATTTTAAAGTATTTACAAAGAGTGATTTTACACACAACCAACATTTTATTAATTATTTGTAAAATTCTAGCAGATAATTTTAAGATTAAAATTATGGATTGAGAATAAGTCTATAGATTAAGAACAAAACGAAATAATTGAAAGTACTTTATTACCTATATTATTCAAGAAAACTAATAAACTACAAATTAATTATTGAAGGAACCCTAAATGATGTTCATGACTATAAATTGATTTTCATGAGTTTTCTGATATCATTAAAATACTTGCTTAGAGATCCAAATATGCAACTTTACATTCACAGTGAAAATTTTCAATTTTAACTTACTACTAAGAGATCAACATATATTTTGCTATTTCTATTTCAAATTTATTTCTTAATTGTAAATTTAGCAAAGTAAAAAAATTTCTTAAATTACAAAAGTTAAGTTTTTGTTCTCAAAATACCATAACACAATTTATGAAAAAGTTTTTGATGTTTTTAACATAAAAATATCAAAGCAATAGTTCCATTATATATTTAAACCTAAAGAATTAAATGTTTTAATCACATAGGCTGTTTATTCAATAATATAGTAAATAAAAATATGTTAAGAATATTTGAATATGTAACATAAAATCTAAGTCAAATCTGGAAAAGCGCAAAAGAAACTTCTTAAATTACACTTTTAAAAATTAAAGAATTAAAACTTAAATTGAAACATAAAAATGAAATAAAAGAAAGATGAATGTAACAAAGAACTTTATTGAGGGGGGAGGCACTTTGGGAGTTTTCCTATAAATAAATGCAAAGTGATCCTGAAAAAGTCCTGTATTGCATTTAATTATATTTTTTTTTATATTTCAGTTCCAGTTCAATTCTCTCATTTTTATAAATGAGTAGACAGTTTATTTCTCTGTAATAATGATGGGCATAACTTAAATTTTAAAGCAAATATATATATTATATACATATTACTTATAGTTTTTAAAGGAAAGGTTTTATTTATTTTTTGCTTTAAAATGTAAGTTTTTTCCATTATTATAACACTCAAAAGCCTATAACTACAATAAAAAAACTGAAAGAACTTAGAAATATAAGCTACTGCGAATAAGATTTAAAATATTGTTTTTAATAAGTAACAACTAAACCTTTAAATCAAAATTTTATTTACATTTATTACAAAGTTTTATTACAAAGCAATTAAAATGTACTACCTTTTTACAATTATATAACATTCATTAAAATGATGATTAATCACAGTAACATTAAAATATGTGTTAAAAGCACTTGAGCACTCAAAGTTGCCACTGAATTGCACAACTCATTAGCTTATTAACTGATTTAGTCAAGCAAAAACTCTTAATGGATGAAACATTTTAGCACCTAATATTACAGTAAAAAATTCCAGCCATATGGCAATCAATAAGTCGCATGATACTCTGTTAGTATTACATAGCTTCTTTCTCTAATAATAAAACAGTACATGCAGATCTGGATGTAAAAAATCATTAATTCAAAAGCTTGCTCTGATTTATCATTCTCGACATCAAAATAACAAATCCAAAAGACTGCTTTGAGTCATAACAATTATACAAGCAATTTTTCTTCTATACATTACATTTGAATCTGTGATGATTTCATTACCTTCGATTAAAAATAGCTTTGAAGTTAAAAATATTTTTTCTAAGTTCTCCTTTTTAAGCTTGTGCAAGAAAAACAATATTTAGTAAGAAAAACTATTAAAAAACCATTATAATGATTTCAGAATCAATTTTTAGAGGCTTTTTAAAAGGCCATTTTTTCTTTTTTTAAAATCATGAGATTTACAGATAATGAATTTTTTCAAAATAAAAATGAACTATTTAAAATTTTCAAAATAAAACATTGAATTATACTTAATGCAATTTTTTTCCAAGGATATCTGTACAATTCATTTTGATACTGTCGAAATAGCACCTTTATGATGACAAAGGGATGGTCTGTCAACAGTATAAAATTGTAATGCCAACATTCTGTAAACAATTATCAATGCATTTGCCATTCAAGTTGTTTATCTGTCCAATTAAATAAAATTTTTAATGGGCTGCTTAGTGTTTAATGTATTAGGAACTAGCCTAAGAAATCTGAGTGAACGTTAGTAAACAATCACTTGTACAAGAAACACATATTAAGATATTACTTTTATGGGAATAACATTACATAAAGTATAAGTAATGTAATTTTGGGATAAAGCTGCTGATAAAAAAAAATGAAATCAAGAGTGTGAACCAAAATTTTTAAATAAAAGATACAACAGATTATTTATGGCAGTCGAAATATGATTTTCATGAGATTTATATTTAGTATACATAATATAACTGCGTCAGTACATTAAAACAAACACTTAAAATGGTATTATAGATGATTTCAATAGGTTAAAAAATAATTAAAATAATCAAAAATCATACAAGAGTAATCAGAGTTTAAAAACTATAATAGATGATTTTCAATATATTTCAATAAGTATTCGCTTCTAGGAAAAATGATACACAACAAATGAATCTCTAGATAACAGTTCTATGATATTTGTGATGAAACTAAAACACACTCATTTTAGGCAGATTATCCTCTTTGATATTCATGAGGGCAGACTTGAATTAAGGCACTTGATTTCTTGTAGTTTAATTCTTTCACTCATTACCCAAGTTTAGAACTGGAAAAGAAAAAAAAACACTTCAGCATGAAATAAACCCAACATATAAAATATGTATACTACATGCAATCCAGAATTGAATTAAGGGTCTATTTTAGCGTACAAAGTTAACATTTGTTTAGTATATCTAATATTAGTATTAATTTGAACCTTAAGATTGATCTTTTAATTGAGAATTTACTGGTATAAAAAAATATATTGCAAAGCAATGATTTCCAATCAAATAATGCAGAAAAACTGTTTTCCCAGGTGGGAGAGTAAACAGGTTTTACTCTAAATTAAGTTAGGACTAACAGTTATAGAATTGGGTGACACAAATTGTTAAAAGTAATGTTAATATGATTTTAAAATTTGTGGAAGAGAATAACATGCATCGTAATGCAAGTGCATATAAATATATATTTATTATAAATATATATAAATGCAAGTGCATATATAAAAACAATCCAATTCATAATTAAATAATTTTTAATTGATAAAGAATACAAAAAATATGACCACCTCAAATTGAAATAATGATATATTTAAGATTTGTTTCTCATTTCTTCATNAATATATATTTAAAAAAAACTAAAAACAATCCAATTCATAATTAAATAATTTTTAATTGATAAAGAATACAAAAAATATGACCACCTCAAATTGAAATAATGATATATTTAAGATTTGTTTCTCATTTCTTCATTTACAAAATATGTAGAAAGACCATTCTCTAATTCTTTTAGCTAATTAAACATTCTGAACTGGTTAATAAGCTTTTTAGTAAGATATTCAAATGAAATCATATAAAGTGTACACTACTATTATTGTTAAGTGAAGTATATATTTACTTGGATATTAATTATTTAGACATTTTAACAAAACTTAGACATTTTAAAATTATCATTATGATAAAAAATGAATATTCATCTAAAAATAGGTTCAAAATCCAATTTAATGTATCCTTAAATGTTTTTGGTCACTAAGCAAGCAGTTTTTTGTTTAACAAATTGACAAAACTTGTATTAATTGTTCAATAATTATGAAAAAAAAAATTAAAGAATACTGCATTAATATAAGAGTCCAAAAATTTTATGCTTGCTTTAAACAAATGTGTCATGTACTATGCAAGAAAAATGCTACTTAGTTTTTGATCTTGAAAAATGACTTTTTATCAGACTGAAAAACTGCTACTTTTGACTTTTATCAACAGGGTTAAATTTTGTAATGAAAAAAAAAAAGTTTCTGAATAATATTTTATACACATTTTTCATTTACCAGAGTCAATCAAAATTCTCATAAGGGATTTTTGGGGGCTAAATACGCTATCTAAAATAATATCGCATAATATTTTTGAAGGTTATAAAGACCCTTTATAAAAACCATTTTTTTTTCTCCGTAATATTAAACCGGAGGATTATTTTCCCTCTATCTATATATATATATATTTATTCAGATATTTTTTTCTCTAAAAAACCTATTATTTCACATAGGCTAAAAATTATTTACATATAATAAAATCAGTGTTTACTTTTTTCTTTTAGTAAAGCTAATTCTTCTCTAGCACGGACAAGTCTGAAAAATTAAAAACAATAACACATAAATAATACAAAACTAACATAGTTGATATATTGATCAAAATAAATTTAGAAAATTTTAGATATAGCAATCAAAAATAAAAGATTTTCTAATTATTCAAGATTCTAAATTTAAAATTAATATACCAGATAGTGACAACTATAATCATAATTTTTTTAACAACAAATTAAATTTCTTTAAGTATTTAATCCATTACCAAATTGTAGTGTGCAATATTACATCGATCGGCAACATGAAAGGAGCCGATCGACAACATGTAATGAGCCAATCTACAAATGTTACTAAGCAAATTCTTATGTTTGTTTACATTTTGGTTTTCATTTTTTACACTTTAGTGAACATGCGGTTTGTCACTACAGAGTGGAGTTGTTAGATACAACATTATAACCCATCATAAAACACAATAGTTTAGAATTTGCATTAATATTAAATATAATCATATTATTTTGGTTAGATTGCGTTGGCATAAGCATTATGTAAGTCAGGATGGATATAAATAAATCGGTTACTCATATCATGTTGTTTCTAAAATTATTATTTTTTGTGTTGCTGTGAATATCTTATTTGTCTTGCATCCAAGGGCGCCGGCAGAATAATATAAAAGGGGGTGCAACCCTCTAACAAATTACCCCCCCCCAATTTTTTTCAAATATTCTGTTATTATATTTTGCTTTGTTATTACACATACTTTCATCTGTTAACTTTTTTCAAGATACATTTCTTCAATGTTAACAAGATATTTTTTAAAAAACGTACGAATTTCTTGTACTTGCAAATTTTGCCACTGTATTGATGGCATAGCTACTGACTTTGAAACACAAGTTTTTGTATACTAACGTGTTTGTGCACGCTTAACATTGGTATTTATTGTGTTGATGAAGTTATACAGCTGTGAGAAGTCAGTTTGTGTTATACACCTTTGTTAAACTAAATAACTAATAGAAAATATAATATAATTTATATTTTATTAAATGAAATTTAAAATTATAGCTTCGATATCTTCCAAGTTTGTGCATGCTCAGTGTGCATAAGAAAAGAATTAATGATGACTCAGAATTCATTGAAAAAGTTATAAACAGATTTGGACAGCAAACAAGACTATTACAACTCTTGCTTGATTAAACAATTTTTTAATTGTTATGTATCAATAATTACTTAATTTGCTTTTGAATAAAAATACTTTTAACACATTTTTTTATAACGAAATTGTTTTTCTGTATCGCTTTCATGGGTAAAAAAAAAAGCCAGGGGGGTGCAAGCGCACCCCACTGCCGGCGCCCTTGCTTGTATCTACCATCATATTAAGTTTATAGGTTGAATATTTGATGTAACATCGTGTATTCATCACTGTATTGAATTCATCATTAAAAATATGTCATAGTTTTTGTGAGTGTCTGTGAGGTTTAAGCTATATTAAGTTGTCTTAGGTCTCCAGTAGATGAACCTTTGCAGTATTCTCATGGTCAGAGTGCATTGTTCTCACAAACTTGTTATAATTTCCAGACTTTGGGAAAAAGTGTGGCAAACCAAACACAGGCTAACCTCAGTCCGTCGTTTTTTCATCTTCATATGTATAGTTTTGTTTTAACAGTTCATGTCATAAATACAATTTTTATGATGTTCTTAATATCCGTTTGGATTATTTTTTAAACTAGCCAATTTCCTTGTCTATTATTAAGAAATTCTATTAGCTTTCAAAAAAATAATACTCGATGCTAATGATAAAGAAAATGGCCACAGTTTCTGAAAAACACAACAAACAGCATGTATGATGTGCAATGAACGAAAATGCCGAAACTTGTATTTTTGGTTCAAGAAATTAAAGAAGTGCAAAGTGATATAGATAAAGACGACGAAAAGAAACCACGACTTGCAAGAGACGCTGAAGCCTTTGAAACAATGAGGAACATTTTGTACACGAGTGAATTTACAGCAATTTTAGCAAATGCTGAACATTTATTGTGTGCACTTAGAAAAAAGTGAGTTCAAACCAAAATTTCCAAATATTTTAAATAAATATATGTGCTTATTCATCTTTCTTTTGTATTGTACGTATTTTTGAATTCATTATTTGATATTTGAAGTTGACCCGCATGTGCCACCCCATATTAATTGTTCACATTGAAAGGATTTTGGACAAACAAGGCTAAATAAAATATGTCATCTCCTTTCAAATCCAGGTAGCTACAATTTTGTTTTGAGAATATAAGCCTGAATAAATGTTTTCTTTTTGAAAAAGGTTTCGTTTTGAACAAAAGTATATCTATTAAAAAACCATTAAAAGTTCTCAATGAATATAAAGAATGGTTACTTTTAGTGCAAAATGATATTTAAGGGTAAATTGATTAACCCCAAAAATTTTTGTGTTATATTTTCACAAATAGAAACATCAGAAATGTCAAGTTTCCTCCAACCATTGTGAAAGAAACTCTTTCCAGAAATATCAAATATTTAAATAGTTTAATACTGCAATGTAGTTCAAATAATAGCATTAATTACAAACCAATTTAATACATAATTTTTAAAATCAGTAAAAACTAAAAATTGACTATGAAAATTTTTATACCAGTATACCTCAAGCTCAAATACTCGATATATGTTGTTGTATTTATGATAAATATTTAATGAAAATATTGATAAAAATTATTGGATTGATATTTGTGAATTTAATCTTTGTGAAAACGTTCTTTTTTTTAATGGCATTGATTTTTATAAATAAAAAATAGATACCACAAGGTAATTCTTTTTTGAAGCTTTTGCTATTATATTTTAGCATTTTTTTTTGAATCAATGTTTGAGTTTAATGATTTTAATGCTTTTAGATAAATTGATGATTTAATTTTATTTAATTGTGAAAATTATGATTTGACTTGACTGAAGACTTGGTTTTTAAGTGGACTAATGTCAATCGTTTAAATGTTGAATATATACATTTTAAAATTAATAATGCAAAGTAATCAAATTCAAATTGGTGTTATAATAAAAGAAAGGCTTTTAATTTTAGGGTTATTTTTTAGGTAATTTTGAAACTAATTTGCATAGTAATATTTTCAAAAATTTAGTTTTTTCTCAACTGTCCAGAATTAATAAAATTTGCAATAATATTGAATATTTTCAAGAGGCTACTAGTAATTTTTTAAATAATCTTAAAAGCAATGATTTTCCTTTTAATTTGTACAATATTGAAGGTAAAATTAACAAAATGATTTAAAATTAGTTTTTATTTTTGTTCTTTTAATAAGGGCTAGATTGACACTTAACTGAGTTGCCCCACTAGGAATATGCTAAGTAGGTTTTTGAAAATTAATTTTTCTTTTGTAATTAGTTTATGTATTTTATATAATTTTAATATTTTAATTTTGCATTCGTTTTCTCTTTCCCTGGATTTCTTGAAAAGCTTTTGGGGTACAGAGAGAGCAAATTTTAAACCTTTGTCTAGCTTCTGGATAGAAAAGGTTTGGTACTATATCTATGACTTCCGGAGCTGGTACCCCCTGACGACGTCAGCTTCGGATGTCATATTGTAATTTTCATTGTTTTCTTCTTTGTTTAATTTTCTACCAGAAATGGCAAGTTTCCTTCAACACTTGCGGATAAAGCTCTTTCATGAAACATCAAATATTTAAATAGTTTACTACTGCAATCTAGTTTAAAATAATAGTATTCATTACACTGCAATTTAATACATAGTTTTTAAATTCAATGAAAACTAAAAAGCAAAAATAGAAAAGAAAAATTTAATGAATTTTTTAATTCAAATAAATGTAATGTTTCAATATTATATAGCATACTAATTATTATAAACATGAATAATCATGCAGACTCTTAAATAAAATGATATATTAAATACATTTCAGAATTCTGCATAAAATTATAATAAATATAAAAATATAGATCTGGAAAACTTTTGGTACTGTATTAAATTTAAGCTATTCTTAAAATTCCTATTAATTATATATAAGCAAATGTATAGGTTAGTTTTTTCTGCTTTATTTCAATTATTGGTAATTTTTATTTTTTTCAGTTTCTACCACTGTACTGGCAGAGATAAGTTTCTCACAGATTAAATGCCAACTTTGATAAACATAGAGATTGAATGAAGTAACAAAAATTACTAACACATAAATTTTAAAGCTAATGTACCCAAACTAAAATACCAACTTAGAATCTTTATCAATTCCGCTATTTAATTACATATAATCATCAAAATAAATTTAAGAAATCTTACGCAGGAGATTGGTATATAGCCGCCCACAATTCCTTTTCAAGTAAAGATTGTTTGATCAGGTCTTGATGTGCTTGATTTGCCAGTACTAATTCGTTCATTAATCTAAAAGGGAATACTAGACTTAATGAAAGACAGTAATATACTAATTTTTAGTATTAACATTATATCTGTGCACTTATAATGTGGAGCGCATTATAGATGTGCACATATTATATAAATATAAACATGATTTAGATATGTAAGAATTACACAAGATAAAATACGTAAAAAAACAACAACAATGACCCTATCACCCAACAAACAACAATGGCCTTAAGTTTAATGGTATATAAGTTGAGCTCTGAAGTAATGCTCTGCAAATGGCCTACTTACAGGTTTTACTCTACTCTGCTAAGCTCGGAATATCATGCGTTATAAAGCTTTTGACATCTTGTTTTATTTTATGCATTATTAAATGTACTATAAATTCAGTCATCAAAATATAAAAGCATATTTATCATAAGATTGAAATAAACAAGCTGTGCACTGAAGAAGTTAGATTTAATCTTCTGAAATTTATAAAAGTCCAAATTTTCTACGCATTTACTTATTCTGGAATCGAAAAAAAATTATTTTATAAGCATATTTATTATAAAATGGAAATAGTTAAGCTATACACTTCAGAAGCTAGATTAAATCTTCTGAATCTTTTTCTTTGTTTTTCTGTATTCCTAATTAAAAAAAATATATTGACATGTCTTTTAAATTATTTTTTCTTTATCCCATGAAGTTGCTAAGACCTCCTGGGTATTTATTTGATTTCCCACTCTGACAAAATTATTTTAGTTTACTTTACACTTTAGGAATAGAGTAAAAAGATTACTTTTCACATACTAACAAAGTGATAAAAAATATCTTGTGCAGTGTGAAATAATTAACAGTGTTATTAAACACAACACAGCCAAAAGGACATGACTTCTCTTAATCATCTTGCAGACATTTTTTACTCGAGGGTCCTCTGTGCTCCACAGGAGAGGTTATGAATTTAAATAACATAACAATTAGCTCATCCCTGAGTAATATTACTAATTCTTTGATCATTGACAACTTTCACCCGAAGGCAACTTTGTACTAGGCTGCTGGAAGAAAAATCGCAAATGCGGCTGGCTTCTCGACTTTGGGAAAAAAAAGTTAAGAAATTGATTAATAATAAATAAGAATTAATTTAAATTAAATATCTTACTTTTAATAAGATGGAAACTTTTAAACTATATTTTTAAAAAAAATCAATGGTATCATCTTAATTTATCAGCTTCATTTCTCTCTAATCAGAGCATAATATTTTAAACAGTATTCTATGAAAGTAATTACTATTTTGATAAATCAGTTTTTGTACCATGAAAGAAAATAGTTTAATATTCATAATTATCTACAAAAATATAACTGAAAAATCACAAGACTAGATCAACAAGAGTAATTCTTCTACTTCTGTGATTAAGCTATTTATTTTACAGTAACAACTAGCAACATCAAAAAAAGAAAAATAATTAACTCAAATTAATGTACCATTAACTATGACTTTGCCCAAATTAAATTTTTTCTTTCGAATACCAGTTTGTGACTTTAGGCAGGAAGCAGATCAAGAGATGGAATTTTGGGACAGTAAAAAATAAGTAAATTCATTTTCCAAATATTATTAACTAGTAAATTGCAATAAAACAGTCTGATTGTCAAATTATCTGAACGTTTGAAATGGTTTACCTCATGTTTTCTCTCACAAGTTCTTCATTTTTCTTTCGCATCAGTGCCATTTCATTATAGGCATGAAAAACGTGAGGAGAAAGAGATTTCACAGAGTTAATTGTTGAAAGCGCCATAGTTGTATCTTCAATTTCCATTTCTTCATTTTTGCCTTCTAAATTATCTCCTAACTCTTTAAACAAATGAAGAAAAAAAAATGCATGAATGTTGAGACAATTATTGCAAGAACTTAAAATTATTTAAACAAAAATTAATACAAAATCATATAAAATGTAAATAAATTACCTGGAGACAATATACTAATAGCTGCTTGTACAGAATTCCTAACTAAATTATCTAGAGCAAAAACCCAATGCGGCATTATATTCTGTTGTCTCAATACTCCTTTTACCTGAAAATAAAAAGTTGAATATTAGCTGCAAAAAGTTATTTTCTCAGAAATTATTATAAATCAATAGGGAAACTAAAAAAAGGTTTAATGTTCTTTACTTTTAGAGATGAATATAAGATTGGAATGAATGTAAATTTTACTAATATAAAATTGGAAATTTGTAATACAGTCCAAATTTGATAAACAAAACTAGCATTTGATGAAATGTTTACAATGAATTTCAGAGTTACTTTCTTTCAAAAACATAGAATATTTAACTACAGATAATCATCTCATATCAATAAAAAAATAACAAAATGAAAGTTCATGACATTTTTAGAAAAAAGTGTATGAAGTAATAAGGAATGAAGAAGTTCTGAGATTTAATTGGAAATCACTTGTTAATAAATATTATGGCTGTTAATATTGCAAATAGTTCATTTAAAGAAGTTTCTCAAACATAATAACGCATTCACATTTCTGATGTTTTTATTTAGTTTTATTAGTAAATTTGTAAGTTTTAGTTTAATCTTTAAATGATTTCTTATATCTTTTCCTTCTTCCATTGACAATCAATAAATCAAACTCCAGGGGTCTGTCTAGGTTTTTCTGAGAGGTACCTATTTTGTGAAAATTCAAACATAATTTGTGAAAAATTAAAAATCCAACACAAAAATATGGCAAGAATACGGATTTATCATTTCTTAAGGAATACACAAATAAAATTTTAAGAAAAAGTATCTTGTGAAACTACCGTTTTTCCTAAAATTAAATTTGTGAAACTACCGCTAAACGGCAGTAAATTCGGTCTGGACAGACCCCTGAACTCTTTACTGTAAACACTATTTTAAAATTTAAACTGTCAAAATTCAGATGAATTCTTGAAAAATTATACTTTAGTAACATTACATTCTAGTTAACGTATTATTAACTGTTTTTATGAATTATAAATAGTCAGAATGACAAGAAAATATAAGTAATAATAAAAGCACAATCCATGATATGTACATTACTTACATTGTTTTTCAGGTACAAATATGCATTAAAACTTTTTAATGTAAATATTTTCACTTTGTTTACATTGCTCCTTTCTACGGAATGAATTATGAGAGTTTTGCTTCTACTTAATCAACACTATTTTTTTAAAACACATTTAAAGGTATTTGAGTAGTAAAATAAAATTTTAAAATATATAAATATACATTGGTTTAAAATTCTTATACAATAAACAAAAGTTAAAAAAATAGTTGAGACTTCAAAAGAGGCAATAGAACATCTTTATAATTTGTTTTCAATAAGGGATAAATGTTTAAATTTCATAACATATAACAATTCCACACTAATGCAACACCAAAATATCAATTAATAGAGACCAATCAGTTACAGTACATTGCAAAAAAAAACACTCTAAAAAAAAAAAACTCTGAATAACATTGGATCTAAGGATCAGATTTTCCCATACTAGAACTAAAGGTTCACAGGGTAACTTTAAATATGTTAATCCATTTGTCCAGTCAATATTTTACATTACGAAATTAGACACAAAAATTTATTTTCTTTGAGAAAACATACCCTTTTTTCAACAGATTTCGATTCCTTGCACAAATAATATTAGGAAGTTTGGTTCTATTTGTTTGGTCGGAAAAGCGGTCTATGTTTCCACAAACTAATTAACATATTTAGATCACTCCTTTTCAACTTTAAGATAGAGTCCTAGCATGTGAAAATTTGATTATAGTGTCAAAAGTTATTCAAAATGGTTCTTTCTTTTCATTTAGCACACCGTATATCAATAACACAAGTAAAAAATATTTTTAGATATAGATTACAGAAATAAGCTAACATTAACTTACAGCATCTTGAAAAACATATAGGGCTAAATGCATTTGGTTGACCGCTATGCCATCAAAATCTACATCTTCTTTGACTCTACCTGCAAATTAAATAATTTTCAAGATTACCGTGATTAAAATATTAATATCAATAATTAACTATATTTTTAAAAATAAAATAGATCAAATTAACTTTGTATCCACAATGAGATTATATTATATTTTTTACAATATTTGTCTCTACTGTAGGGGTGCACAACCTTTTTCAGTGAAGGGCCACATGCACAGCAGATTGACCAATGAAGGGCCGCATGCCAAAGTGTTTAGACCGACATATTNGGTGAAAAAATGAGTAACATTTATCTCACACAAGAATGTTTTTGCCTAAGGAGTTATTTGTAGAGATATTTTAAAAAAATTTCTAGCTAAACGTAAATTTCCTAGAGCAGTACAATTAACAGGTGTTAATTTAAAGGGTTAAGAAATTCTTTAACATCCTCTTCTTATTTATAGCAGTCCAGAAAATTATCTTTAAGAAATGGTCCAAGCCAAATCAGTTGTGATAGCTATCAATTATGAAAATAATGTTAAAAAATTACCTTAAATAAATATATAACAATTCATATTTTAATAATTTATTTGTTTTTTAATCTTAGATAACTAAACATAACCCAGAGTTACTCTGTAACTAAGCATTTAATTCATAAAACTACCAATTAAAAACTGGCTTAATTTCATGTTTCTATAAATAATATTTGATTGAAATGCAGATAAGTGATAAAATTTAGCATTAGCACTGTTTGAAATTGTTAAAGTGCAATAGTATTAAGTTGATTTCCTAAAACTGGCAAAAATTTATAATCCATTAGATGAATATTCAGTTATCTAAAGTTAAGTGAGAAAAAAAATCATTCCTATTTTCTAAAATATTGCACGTTTCCAATACATATACCATCAGGTAATTAAGTTTTTTTAATACAAAGAATTTCCTTAACCCAATAAATAGTCAACTTGAAAAACATTATATAATAGAAACATATAACTGAAAATTTAAAATTAGACTAAACACAGAGAGATGAATACAGAAATTTTCAGGCAAGAGATAATTCAAAATATACACTTACTTATTGCTTGCTGAATAGGCATTTTAATTTGCTCTGGAATATATTCTCTCAATCCATCTAATAAAATATTTAAATGTTCCTACAAAATACATTAATTAAAAATTAGAAAAACTTATACTTATTAATTTCAGGGATACATCATCAAAAATAAGTCATGTATTTCATTCATTGAGATCCTTAACCATCCAACATACACTTTAAAATGCTTGTATAAATTGACTACAACTTTTTCATAAAACAGATGGAAATGCTTATATCCATCTTTACATTTAAAGCTATAATTTCAAATTTTTTTTATATCTGGATATATTTCTTAAAAAAAGACAAATTAATTTTTAATAAATATATCCAGATCAGATAAAAATATTAATATTTGATAGTGTTAGATACATTTTTTTCAATTATAATAAATATAAAACCACAATTTTATAGAAAATCTGATTTTATAAAGGTTTTAAAAGCTATCTATAAAAATATTATTTTTTTAAAATTTACCTATACTATTTAGCTTAACAGTACACAGCAAAGGCTTGATGTAACAAGTATGTACAGCTGTCGTTGAACAGCCGACTCAATTTTGAGTTTACAACTACTAATGTTCGCAGCCTTGTAATTTTGAACCAATCAAGAAGACAAGGAAGCTCCTGGATAAGAACCCCCAGAGGTATGATTTGTTATGGGAACATGGAATACTTAACTAATAAGATTTTTATTCATACAAATTATGTGTTTATAAAAATAAAGCATTAAAGCAACAGCCTTCGTGGGCCAGGGGGCTCATGAAGGTTAAGCTCCACATATTTGTGACCAACGGCATGACTTTGGCAATGTGGTCAGCACAGCACATAGGCCACCTTTACTTCACAGACAAGCTGATCAAGCTAAGCTGGGAGGGCTTCAAGTTGCGATTGGTGATAGGACAATGGGCACATGTCCAAGGTCCTTCATGTTCCCATAACAAATCATACCTCTGGGGGTACTGATCCAGGAGTTCCCTTGTCTTCTAGATTGGCTCAAAATTACAAGGCTACGGAGTACATACATAGTCGTAAACCCAAAACAAGGCCGGCTGTTCAACAACGGATATAAAATAAAATGACAATCAGTGCCATAATCACCGAGACATTGTGGCACTTGTGTGTTTATCGATACACTTGCTATAACATGAGCAAAAGTTTGATAGGTAAGTTGAAAGCTATAAATGTGAGGTTTATATTGTCTCAATCCTAAATGGCATTGATTCAGACTTGATCCACAGCATTTGTGCACGCAAATGCTATGAATAAAGTCTGGCTCAAAAAAGAGGGAAAGGTTGCTTGTATAACTCCAAGTTAACTGAAGGGGAAATTTTTTTTTTAATGTCTCTCTTTCTTAGAAATTAACACAATTAGAACAGACAGACACAACAGAATTAGTAAGAAATTGTTGTTAAAAATTAGAAGCAACTTATAACATCACATGAATATGAGAAATGAAAATTGAAATAAAATTAAATAAATTTTTTTGAATGCATGAGCATCAAAAATGAAATGGGTAAAATAATAAATCAACACAAAGAGTTCAAAAATGGAAAGTAAAATCTTAGTAGTCACCATAGTTAAAGCTGATTCAGGAGTTTTTGCATTCAATTCTTTCATCCAAATATCACATATCTGAAATCAAAAGTTAAGTATGGTGAATTTGTTTAATTAACTATAAATATAACACAGTTCGAAAAAGTAAAACATTCTTTACAGTACATAAGTGACACATAGTGAAAAAATTAAAAAAAAAGGAATATTAAATTTAGACTTATAACATACCACATCAGCATTTTCTAAAAGAACTTTGTGTATAAAAGCTCTTCTTTGAGAGTCTTTTTTTAGCAAATAGAAATTTCCCTGTTCAGTCTCTATCTGGGGGCTATCAATGGGAGGACTAAGAAGCCCGGTACTAGAACGCCTTGTATCGGTAGAAGAATCTGAAGAACTACAATTTACAAAAATATGCATGTAAATACATAAACTTAAATCGAGTATAAACATCTAAATGTTAAAGAGATTACTTAACATATTAAAATACATAAATATACAATAGAAATCATTTAAATTTTGTTTAACTTCTCCATTAAAAAATCTAACACAAATTTGATTTTATAAGTTATTTGCTTGGGTAAGATGTTTATACTCCTGAGGCTGATCTCCATGGTATCTTATTTTCCACGCTAAGAAATATCTGCTGTAATTTTGACTTAGCACTTAATGTTTCAGCTAAATCAGGAAATTAACAAGAAAAAGTAGTACGAATATCAATCAGCAGCAATAAATTAAGAGCAAATCATGATTGTAAAAGAGAAGAAAAAAATACTTCAGGCCATTACCAGATATCATTAAAAAAAAAAAACATTAGGCTGTTACCACATACTATAAACACAGGGCTGCTAACTTTCTACTTTTCAGAAAAAAATTTCTTCTACTGGTAGCTAAGTCTATGTTTTAATATATTATTCCTTGCTTAGTAAATTTGATTTAAAATTATTTTTCATGTGACTACATCTAGATGACTCAAAAGTTTATATAAAAAGCCAATTTATCTAAGTTCACTCGAAGTGGGGCTTTTAAAATGTCGGAAAATTACCAAAAATTCTGAAAGCTTCAGTTTTTATTTGTCTAACACTGAAAAACTGCAAAATAATTTAATAATTTTTACCTCCAACCATACGACTGATGCTCAATTTCAAATAGCAGTTATGAGCAATTAAAAAAATGTGTTTCAGAGCACAATTATCAAATAAAAACTGTGCATTAATTTTTAAATTTAATACTGTGACGTTAAATTCTTAAAAGTGATTTTTTTCATATTTGATATGATTATGTTCTATTTTGTCCACCTTAAAAATGCCTTGTAATTGCGTTGAAACAGCTTCATATTCCTTATCATAAATGAATAAAACAAATACATAAATAAAATATTTTAGAATGACAAAAAACTATCCAAATCGAAACTAAATAGGAAAAAAAAGAAAAGAAAAGAAAAAAAAGAATAATGAAAAAGAATTGACATAATGAAAAAAATGGTCTAAAAATTGCATTTTGAATTATGCAGTCATTACAGCTGAGGACAAATGGCTACTCAATGAAGGTTGTGATTAGATATCACATAGTTCTGCTCATAATGTATTAATTTAAAAATAAATTTGCCTTACTTTTTTAGTAGAGATTGCATCAATTATTTATGAAAAAAAATTCGAAAATTTGAGAGAAAATGGATTAAACACAATAAAGTAATAAACAAAATAACTAACGCAAATATAAAGAAAATAAGTCTGAGAAACAATTGAAATCAAAATAAATAGTTTCAATGTATTTTTCAATAAAATCAAAGATAACGTTAAGTTACCATACATGGAAAGAAATGTATATACTAGACAATCAAACTTTTTAACTTGATGACTCATAATGAAAAAGTTTATGAAAGTCTGACCACTGGTAGCAGAATTTATTAAATCAATCAGCAGCACTAGTCTCAAAAATTAAAATTTGTCTGTGACTTCAAATTATTACTGTAAAAATAAAGCTTAAGCTTAGCACAATTGGCAAATATTAAATATAATAAAGTTACATACAAAAATTTTATGTTTAAATTTTATTTAAATTTAAGACTATCATACTTTAGCTTTTTCCAAAAGGAGAAAAACAAATGCTTATACTAATCTCAATACAGGAATCAGTAAGAAAGAGTTGTCCACCCTCAGCACACACCTTGAGAAATCCAAATTCACATCAAATTTGATATTTATAATAGTTCTTCAATAAAAAAAGTTATAGTAATAGTTCTTCAATAAAAAAAATAAATAATAATTTTTATTCTTATATCTATAACATAGGTAATTGACTAAATGTATGCTATTTTTTTTGACAATAAAGTCATGCATATTTTCATTCCTGTTTTGTGAATAATTGCTTCAAGCATTTTCATACTTTTAGAATTTGTTTCTAGTAACTTAAAAAAATATTAAAGAACTAAACATTTTTACAGTGTGAACAAAAAATAAATAAAATATATATACATTCAATCATCAGTATCATGCTTATAATACTATGAGTATTTAGTTATTTGTACATGGTACCTAAGATTTTAAATATACAAGGCATTTCAAATGAACTTCATGTAACTGCCATTGAAGATTATTATAGCAAACAAAAATATATATATTTCTTTATGAAAAATAACACATAGATGAAGTTTTGTTTTAAATTGAAGTGACAGTGTAGTTCTACCAGAAAACTTGAGTGAACCTATGACTGCTTTAACACGTTGACTGCCACACGCGTTCACAGTGAAATCTCTTTCAGGCCACGAATACCGCTGTACAAAGCGTATTCTGCTATACTCTGATCGATATTTTAATAATGCGAGTCTCTGATGTCACACGAATAATATCTCGCTTTGTTTGTTCCCATGGTATCATGTCTGTTCATTTGCATCTGTTGCTTTGCACCTGTTTCTCATCTCGCAACTTTACACAATCAGTTTGAATCTTTGCAGAGTAAAGAGGAGTATAACTTAAAATCTTTACCCTAATTCGTTAAAATTTTGAAAAGAAAAATGGAAAACTTATTTCTTAGTGGTTCAAATAGCAGTGAACAAGCTTTTATGAGGCTCACAATAATTTTCTTAATAAATCATTTTTATATTGCTATTATAACAATTCAATAGTTTGGTTACTTCCTGTGAAATATCTTTTCAAATACATACGAATATCCTTCACAAGTAGTCAAATAAGCACCACCCCAATATGGTTCACGCGGCCCGATCAGAAACTTGCTGTCACCCGAACATGTGTGACACGGCAATCAATGTGATAAATCATTTTTGATGATTTTTACCATGCTTTCTATTTCATGCTTTAATATTAAGTAGTATTTGATTGTTGACATGCATATACTACATACAATGACAGCACATAATATTACATTTATTTAATACTTAACAACTAAATAATTCAAAACTAAAATTTGATGTTTTTTTTCTTTTTTTAAGCATTTTTATTTCCATTGTTTTTTTTAATTGCTTCTATTAAAGCATAGATAATACCTTTAAAAAGTGGATTTAAAGTTTTTGATAAACTTAAACATAAAAAGAATACTTAAGAAGTGTAGACAACAGAACATATTTAAGTTCAAAATAACTAATGCTTTAAAAATTATAAATTATTCATAAACAAGTCACAAAAATTTAAAGAGTGTTAAAATTCTTTAAAAGAACATGAAAACACTGAAATTAAAACTAATAAATTGATAAACCCTGATCCTTAGTCCTCGGAACTAAGGAACTTTAATCGGTATCCAATATAATTACTGCTTTATAAATGAGAAGCTAAGATATTGTCTGTTTTACTTGCAGGTAATGGCAAAAAATATATTTTTCAAAAAACTTTGATAGAGGATCAGTTAAAAAATTATTATTCTGCATTGATGAATTTAAATAAAATCTTACAACAATGAAACAAAGGAGGGCTAGACACAAACATAAAACCAATGGGGTTTATAGGTCTGAACTCTACAGTTACCTGGAGTAAAATACATATTGGTTTAAGGTACCTAAAATTTTTTTTAGGATAATTAAGCCTAAACACGCAAACTTTAAAATTTTACTTAAAGTAAAAAAAAGTTAATTTTTTTCCTTTCAAAACCATTTAAATATTGCTTTGATCTTAATTAAAACATAGGTAATAATTCAAAAAGGCGTTTGCTAATAGGCCAACATACCAAGGCTTGTCTATTTAGTTTTATATTTCAAAATGTGTTTTCTCATTACTTCTTCTATTTTTTAAATGAAATACAGTACAGAACCCGTTATCCGGAAATCAGAAAACCGGAAAACCAAAAAACCGGAACGAAATTCGATAAATTTTCCCGCTATTTTTGAAAAAAAAATTTTTTTTTTCCTCATAAGATTTTAGGATTTTTCTTTCTTTTTTGAAAGATGTTTACCCTAGCATCATTTTGGAAATAATCATTAGTGTATTACTTCATCGTTTTTTCTTATTTTTTAAGATTATTTTCATTTTTATTTTTTTTAGTTGGGTTTAACAATAAAAAAACGGCTTTTTGTAGGGATTCAGAAAACCGGAAAAATCAGTTATCCGGAATAGCGATGGTCCCGAACGTTCCGGATAATCGGTTTCCTACTGTATCTTAAAATCTGTTAAACCCATTTACTTGAAAATTTGCATGAACATCTACTATACATGTCTAAGAAACAGACTACACTTCAACTTACAACCGATTTAAAAAAAAAAAAAATGCATTTTTGCAAGTTATTTGCCAAACAATGAGCAATCATATTAGCTGTAAATTATTATCAAATAAACATTATGGCTTTTAATACTTTATTCCCTAAGTTTATTATTGATAAATACCACAACATAAACAAAATAATAATTTGTAAAGTTAAATGCTTTTAAAATGAAGCAGTTTATTTTAAAGAAATTTTAATTACTTAAACAATTTGATTTATGTTTTTTCTTTTATTTTCAATCTAAAAATATCATGTTTTAGTGCATAATACAATAAAACCAAATAAAAAAAATTACGAATCACTAACATTTTTAGGTATTCGGATGTCTAAAAGAGAAATTTTGATTCCTTGTCCGTTAAAAGGATAAAACAAATGGTTAAAAAAAAAATTGTCACCTTTAATCATAATTTTAATAGTAATAGTAACAATAGCCAAATTATTAAAAAAAGACAATCAAATCTTCAAGGACAATCAAGGATAACATCAATAACAGTCAGAGTTGGTGCCTCAGATTTTTACACAAATTTGCTAGAGCTGCGAGCATGTTGCAAACTAATGTTAGACAAATCTCTTTTCATGCATCGTAAAAGTTATGTTATAGCTTACTAAGAAACTATTTTCAAACATATTCATACAGCAAGACAATTTAATTGAAAACAATTTATTCCTTTTTACCTTTCATATGTATTCAAAACGTTATAAGTCATCATGTGAATAAATAAAAGATTACTATTCAATTTGAAACAAAAACCTTAATATTCAATATGTAGATTTCATCAATTCCTGTTATATCAATTATCTACAAGCAATGAACAAAAAGCTTTACTTCTTAAAGTGAAATAGTGGTCTAATGTTAATGATGGAAATCTTTAAAAATTGAAATATTCCTCAAACAGATTCTAGCTCTATCATGCTAAATGTCACTTTTTGCCTACATATTGATACTCTAACACACAGATTAATTATTTTGTAATAAGAAAAGATAATAAACCAAAGTATATCTAAAAAGCAAAAGCTAATTTTAAGAAAATCATTTACACAGATATTTTTATTAAATCCCTTAAATTAACTTTTAAATATAAGTTTGATATCTTCAAATATTTTTTCATAAATAAGTCATATATTATACTTAAGATTTGCTTACCTAAAAGAAAAATTCTGAGGGGGTATTCTAAGGGAGTTGCAAGGGCTCTTACGTACAACAGCTAAACTGAAATGGAAGACAGTTTTAAGAACACACCACAGGAATCAATATCTACATCCCCATTTCAATATATCAAAATAATTGTAAAATACAACCTTTTCTGATGCTATTTTGAAAGCAGTTTGAGTTACACTATAAATACTTGAATTTAGCATATTTCAGAATATTTTGCTACAGAAATAGTTGATTAAATAGAATAAATTAAATTGAATTATTTCAATAAATTCAAAATTATTCAATTCTAAGAAAAAACTATCTCGATCAGAATATTTCAAAATGGTTAGATGGTCTACTTATGTGTTAAAAAATAGATTTATATAAAAAAAATTAAATTGAAATATCAGTTCAGCATTAGTATTCCCATGTGCACTGTGAAAATAGAGGATGAAATATGATTTTTTAAAAAAAATAAAGAATTAATACTTAGATAAAAATATAACAGTAGAAAATATTATAAATTCTGTTAAAAAAACTTAAATAAACAGAAACTTTAAATTTTTGAACTCTTTATAATTTTTTATTATAACAAGAATTCCCTTGAAAATTATAGATTTTGTAACTTATGAGTACTTTTCATTCTTAGAAGTAATTCTCTCTGCACAACATCAATTTATAAATATATCTGTCGAATATTTCAACTCTGTCTTGTTATCCCTCGCATTATGTCTTACCTATGTGTCACCGAAACAAATTTAGGGTTTCAATAAATTTTACTATTTGTTGTTAAGTCACTTTTAATTTTATCTCAAAGGATTACACTCATTATTAAAATATCAAAGTGTTTTTCATAATATCTTAAAATGGTACATAAATTAGAAAATTTGTAAAAGAGAATGAACTGAACAAATGGGGAAAAATAAGTGCTGTGTAAAAATTAGTAAAATGAACCTCACAAGCCAGAGGACTCTCAAACTGTATACAACAGTATGAGATGAAGAGAACAATATTGTGTCTATGGTGCTACAAATCAAATGATTAATCATTTAATAGTAATCTGCAGTTATTAGAAAAAATGTCTTATGGTAGGGTTGATAAGAGCGTTATATCTATGAGAAATCTCATTTCAATACTATTCCATACTTGCACAAGGCTGGAATTTTAGAAACTATTTTCCTAAAAAGCAAACATTGTTCAAAAATAAATACCAAAAGAAATTAGAATAGCTTTATCAAGAATTATTTCATGATTTGTAAGAGTAGATAATGAATAGCTTTATCAAGAATTATTTCATGATTTATAAGAGTAGATAATGAATAGCAGGATCACCCATCACACTAAACGAACTCACAATGTTTCCAAGTGCAGATGATATTTTTTTTACAAATATTTTTCTTTAAAGTATTAGTTATGTTATTATTATCAACTACTTTACAGTAATTAAAATCAAAATACTCGAGAGGAAGTTAAGTATGCTTTGTTTTGGCTATATTTTTAGTTTTTCACTTGCTTTTCTATATTCAAGCTCTATGGTAAAATTGCGTATGAGCAATGGCACAACTCGGATGGTCAGAGACAAGCTAAAGAATAGAATCATGACCGTTTTAGTGTATGTCAAAAAGAGCTTCTTAAGCTAAACAGGAACAGTTTGAGGAAGATCATTGGTCTTCTCACTGGTCACTGCACCCTCAGGAGACACCTATACATAATAGGTATTGAATCTGATTCTCTTTGTTGAGGTTGTCATCTTGAGGAGGCTTCACAACATATACTTTGTGATTGTGAGGTCTATTCCGCTCAAAGATTTGAGCGGACTCAACATTGTATTAAGACCTGGGAACTGCAAGACGTTCCTGTCAGGTGTTTGCTGAACTTTATTTGAGCTTTAAAGCTTTTTTGTTAATCACGATTCAGGGTTTGGGTGCAATAGACCTCAGGTCGATGTGCCCTGCTCTTTGGGGCTGCCCAACCTCTAATTCTATACCAAGTTTCATCAACATCTGTCTACCAAAATGGATACTAAGTAGCTTTAATTATAATTACACTGTGTATGTATTTCAATTAGCTTTTAGGAAATTTATAGGACATCAAACTTCAGACACAATTTGGTAACACAGTCAACACATTAAGCAATATTTTATGATTGAGATTTAGCACATCAAAGCTAATTTTAGAGCCACAAATTTGCATATCAGAAGATTGGGGGAAGACAGGTTAATCAAGATTATAAGGTAAAATGTTAACATTGATCATTCACATATGCAAGCTTAATAACAAGGCCAAAGAATGTAAGAGAATGAGAGCAATCATTGTCTTCCAACGTTAAGAGATATTTAATTTTAAGCATGCTTTTGCAATGTTGTAATAAAAAATGATTAAAATAATAATGCAATGAAAAACATGAATATACGTAGCAAAACTTACCCTTCCTCACCCGTACTTGCAAATCTTTCCACTCTATCAGGTTTAGCTTCCACTTTGGGCCTTTCTGGAACTGAATTATATTTAGCTATACAGCAGATGTAAATCAAAATAAATTGGAGAAAAATTTTAAGTCCAAAATATAATAATAACATAACAGATATACCTGAAATACTTCTGTTTAACTCTGGAGGAGGAGGTCGATTGTGCGTTTTTTTCTTCCTGCTGTCTGAAATAAATGTGTCTTCGATTAGATCGGATGCAGTTGCTCTTGAATCTGGATCAGGGATGAAACATCTAAAACGAAATAAATTAAAAAATCTTACTGAATGGTACAGTTTATCAGGCATGAAAGTGGAGTAAAATAAAAAAAAAACTAAACTTTCACCATGGAGTTTAGGGGAGGGGGCTCTATATAATACTGTGGTATCAATAAGGTATGTAAAAACATTACTGAAAACTTCTTATATCATATTTGAAGTGATAGCAACATTTAAATTCGTGGTTAAACAAATATAATTTTAATCTACTTTGACCATTACTATATTAAAGAAAATCAAGAAATAAATAAGGCTTAGTAACCATTATTTTAAATTAATTGTTCCTGGCAAAATTTAACAATATTTTTGCTTACAATAAGCAGTTGAACTGCTATTGTACTACCACTAAAAAAAATCATTTTCCGTCAATCTCAAAAGCTAGCAGCTATGTAAAACAGAATCACACACACACACTTATATACACAATAAATAACAAAACAGTCAAATTACTAACTTAGTTATTTATGATGATTGTACTATGCAGATTACTTGATTATATAAAAAAAAAATACTTTCTTGATTATAAACATATTTTGATCTATCTTGACATAACAGATTTTATCTTGATTTCATATACAAACTTTTAAGCTATAATAGAATCTTTCTTGATTTGCTTCTTTCTTGCCACATCTTTCTTTTAAGATTAATCCTCCTTTTGCTTTATTTTTTCTCACATTTCTTTATTCTCTAGTTTCCTAGAAGTGTCTTCTATTACAGCTAACATTTTTCTCTTTTCTTCCTTAGTTCTCCACTCTTTTTCATGTTCTTATATTTTGATATAGATTGTTCGCCACAGGATCATGCAAACAATCAGTTTTTTTCTTCAAAGAAATCTATGGTTGATTTCTTTTGACTCAGTTTATATTTCATAGCCTGCATTGCAGAAATTTTTTTTTTTAGTTTCATGTTAATTGAATCTTTATCAAGTATATCTGCCATCATATTGAAGGAACCTTTTATTTGAGAACCATGAAAGCAACTCAATACCTTCATCATTTTTGCCATCATCATATTTCTTAAATTTCCGAAAGCTAGCGGACCAAAAATGAATTCTCAAAATATTTTTAGAAGCATCTTCATAAAATGGTAGACATTAATCCATTTGATATACATGAATATCCAATGAGTATTAAATTATTATTATTTAAAAAAAAAAAACTGATAACACATTTTTACAAGTTTAGGTAAAATTTTTAGTTTATCCGTTGAAACGGAATGAGTGCTCGCTAATCAATCAATGGCTGAAACGCATTTCAGAAGTGAACTATTCAAAGCTATTTTCCTTTGAAGAAACTGGACACATTGAATATGCCCTTGACTAGCTTAATTTAAAAAGGAAATCATCATAACATTTTAATATTTTTTCTATAAATATTTAGGGGTAAATCCCTACAGTTTTTCAGCTTTTTCAATAAATTTTTATCAGATGACAAATCGAAATAAATTGGTTGACTTTTAAGGCTTCAGGCCTATAGTTGTCTTGTATTCAAATAGTTGTCTTGTAGTATTCAAATAGTTGTCTTGTTTATCACGAATTTTATGGATCATTATCTTTTTGGTATGAAACAGACTAAAAAATTTTTTCAATAGAAGGACAAAAAAATATCAAAAAGGTTTTTTTTCCTGAGTGAAAAAATAACTTTGAAGAAATTCTACCTTTTCTAGCCAGCCATAATTCCATTTTCTTTATAAATTGCTCAGAGAATGCAAAATAAAAAAAAAATGTAATTTCATCATTGGCAGACAAAATAGAAAATTGAGCATTCCAACATTACATAAAGAACCATCTAGGTCAACCATTGGAGATGAATCATATTTTCAACAATGGTAAATTTAACAACCCCAATACTTGACGAATTTCAGCCAGACATTCTTTTTGATCTGCAGACCATTTTAAGTCATATATATCACAAATTTTTTTTCCCCATACCCTTCAAATTGCTTACAAAATTGTTTAATGGCGATGTTTCGTGAACCACCATCCACATTCAGCAAATGAGGTGCTTTTTCCAGAATTCTCTTTTCCAGCCCAGACTTAGATACCCTCATAACATTGCAGGAGTGCATCAAAACTGTGATTAAATTATGCCGTGAGTTATTCTCTTCAAAACTTCAGAGGTAACCCTGGATACTTTAATGCTAGATAAATGTTCAAAAACTACTGTATTATTGACAGGTGAGAAATAACTAAGAGATAAATATAAATGATTTAATATTTTATTTTTATCACAGACTAAAACTTTACACAAATTGATAAATACTGGAGAAGTGAATAGCAAATTATGTTCTGCCATTACTCCTAAAAGCAAAGTTTGAGCATTTGTAATTCTATCACTCATTGGTAGATTTACAGGTTATTGAATAAGAGGTGCAGATGGAACAATTAAAGTTGATAGAAGAGAAGACATTTTTTTTTCTCGCTTTGTTTTTTACACTTTATATGAGCTGATATCGTCACAAATCCTCTTTTGCCATAATATATATTATCTGAGCAGAGATTTCAAAATTCTTTATTGCTCTGCTCACCTCAAAATTTTTTTTAAAGTAGTCACCAACTTTCACTTCAAAAACTCCTGACAAATTGATATTAACAGTTTTAGTCATTATGACTGTTTAATGCAACCAATTAAACTTAAATTTATTTCCTTTTTAAACAGCATGGATGGAACACATTGTGTGTTTGTATTTCAAATTGACTTACATCGTTAAAATACATTCATTTAACGATGCACAACATGAAAGGAACACAAGTAAAAACACAAGCTTATGTGCGGAAATGCTAACAAAAATCAAGTGTAGTTGAGAATTATAATTTACACACGTGTGAATTCAATATGGGTCACATAAAGCAGAAAAAATACTGATATAGAACACATTACTACACCTTAATATGAAGTTTTTAGCACGTTCAGACATTCCTGGAGGAACTTCAGGATGCATCTTATAAAATCCTACTTTGAACATAGCAGCCTGTGGGGAACCCAGCTGTAATGGCAGAGAAAAGAGATTATTTAACAAAATATTGTAATTAGATTATGTATATGATTTAAAATTAGAACAGAAATTTAAACAATTACACATCACTGTTTAGAAATAAAAGAAGCTTAACTTCATACATTAATTTCATAAGCCATTTTTATTGTGTTTTACATAATAGGAGTTAAAATTTATTAACAGTAATTATTAATTTTCTTCCTCCTAGAATGAAGCAAGAGCTCTATGAGATCACTCAAAAAGTGATTTAATTAGTGATAATCTTGTTTACATTGACAGTGTCAAAGACCCTGGCAATGAAGATCAAGCAGCAAAATACAAATGTATTTAATTCCCCGATGAAATTCTTGTGATTAAACAGATTATCAGTGATTACAAAAAGTAATCAATTCAGAAAGATCAGCATAGATGATTAAAGTTATAATTGTAAAGCAAATATTACTTAAGTCAGTAGTTTTTATACCTTAAAAAAACTAAAAAAGGGTAAAATAACAATTTACAACCACACATATAATAAAATTAACAAGTATAAAATATATAAGAAAATAAGTAATATATTATAACAGTACATACTTCCCCAAATGGTGGTTTTCCTGTAGCCATTTCAATTACAGTACAACCAAGTGACCAAATATCTGCCTATATAAATAAATATAAATACATTTTTGGTACGTCTCTATAATTAAAATAGTGTATAATATAATTAATTTTTAATTCTATAATATAATAAATTTTTAATTCTATAACAAATTGATCTATTTCAAAAATATTATGCTTTTAAAATTTAAAAAAATTGACCTTACTTTTAAGTACTAAAAGGTATATTAAACTTTAAATTATGAGAGTTAATGCTTTTTAATTTGAATTAATTATAATAGATGGCAGGCTCCGGAGCTTTGTTTTTCATGAAGCTGGAGCTCTAAATTTCACCACGTTCCAAGGATTTTTACAGACATCCAAAGGTCTGCCACATTGTAACAGCATTGCCTGTTAGCCAAGTTTCTACAGAAAGGCTATTCTCGTCATTAAAATACATTTATAATGATTTAAAATCAAATTTGAAGGAGAATTTATTAAATTCCTTCTTTTAAGAAAATGAATAAATCACTCAACTGCTAATTAAATTTGAATTTCTGTGTAAGCTGATGATTATCTTATTTTTCCAATGTTTATTTTATAATAAAAATTAAAATTTGAAACTCAAAAAACTCATAAGACGATAGTAAAATTGCTGGTGCTTGAGTTTTTATTTCTTAACTGGGAGCAGAGCTGGAGTAACAAAAATTCTTAGGTTCAGGGTCTCTTATAGATAGTATATAGTATATAATTTAATGTAGTAATTATTTTTCTTTGACCAGTTCATGTTTCGATTCGATCATAACAATGGAAAAGTTCTTGTAATCGATCTTAAATCAAAAGCAACATAGTTAAATCAGAAATAAACAATGTAGGAAAATATAAATGTTTATTACAATTAAATAAGGTAATTTTAAGTTTAAATAGTTTTACAGGAAAGGTTTTTTTACTTACAGGAGCACCATAACCACGTTGTCCTTTATCAATAACTTCTGGTGCCATATATTGCAATGTGCCTAAATAAGAATATATAAATTGAGTAAAAAATTATAAATGTTTCCTTATACTCCGTCATTAATTATTACAAAGTACGTAGCTTTTAGTCATTAAAAAAAACCCACATTTTAAATTTTAAAGCATATTTTAAATCAAAATTCTTAGAATAGTTTCAAAGCAAACTATAAAAAACACTTACCACAAGTTATAAAAAAATTCTTCTCATTGTTTGGAGAACAAATATTAAATTAAGATAGTTTTTAAAATTGAACTTGGAATATTTTTTAAAATCAGAAATGTATGGCATATTTTCATTAACAATCATTATCAGCTTTACTCCTTCTCACTAGAAAATTAATTTCTTTTTTAGTCATTTATTGCAGCTATTGCACCAAAATAAATATTTAAGTTGAAAAATAACAATATATAAATTAATAAAGAGAATAATAATTCTTATTTAATGAAGGAATATGCATTATTTTCTATTTGAGTTCATTTACACCATGCCTTCACATTATCACAACACATGATGTTAATCACTCTGGCTATTGCAGAGGCTCAAACTTTTCAAACTAGATATTGTTATCAGAATTGATATGATACATATAACATTAACAAAATAAAAATGAGAGAAATTCCAAGATGTTTTTACTCTTCAATTCTACATAGGTACACCTAATATTAATAAAAGTATGCAAGAATTTTACTACTGAATAAAAAAAAGTTATTTCCGTAATTTTGACTATGAATTCGTAACAATTACTGATAAATCACAATAGTTGGCAATTCTGCTATTGCGAGCAAACCAAAGTAAAAAACTTAAGGTGAAAAGCAATGAAAAATAAATTAATATAAAATGTCACTTTTTATATATAAACAAATGTCATAATGCATAGCAGCGGTGGCTCAGAGGATAGAGCGTTCGCTTTCCAATGAGGTGAACCGGTTTCGAATCCCAGCGATGCCTGGTATATACAAATTCCACACCCAGCTTGCACAAACCGCAGTGTTGACGTAAAATATCCTCAGTGGTAGATGGATCATGGGTTAGAGTCCTCATGTTAACCATGGAAGGTTTTCCACACAAAGTAACACAAATGCAGGTAAGTTTCACCAAAAAGTCCTCCACGAAAGCAAGACTTCGCCCAATACTTCATACAAGAGTTCCATTGTCTTTGGATTGGATTAAAAGGCTACAGAGTTGAACATTAGTAGTTGCAAACCCAAAACTGGGTCGACTGCTCAGCTCAACTTATAAAATGCATATAATGCACAGTTAGATGTGTGATAGCACAAGCATATTGTTGAAAAATAAAAATTTGAGTTATAAGAATAAATAAATAGAAAAGCCTTTTTTCCATTTAAATAAATAATAAGTTTATACATCATTAAAAAAATGTGACCATAAGAAAAATGCTAATGTTGGGGGATTTTTCGCAAGAAAGAAGAGCAAATTTCTTAATCTCCATCATTTGCTTCAAACAAATTGTTCTGTGATATACAAATTTTTCAGCACTTTCTGCTTTTGCTGAATTCTACAATTGCATAAAAAAAAAGAATATTCTCCTAATATAAACTTAAGCGTGTTTTAAAGAATTTAGTAAATGGATTAGTAGAATAAGTTGAAAATTGCAAAATAAAAAAACAAACAAGCATAATATAATAAAAACTAAAACATGTTGTAAGGAATTTAGTAAATGTATTAGTAGAATAAGTTGATTTTAGTATAAATTTAAAAAATAAATAATAATTTGCAGCTTTAAAGGAAATTAGTGTCAAATTTATATTTTCTTTCTTAAGCTGTATATTTTCTAATCCATTGGTTGAAACCAAAATAGTCATAGTTTGATTTTATTTTTCAAAGTAAAACTTGGAAAATAGAAAAATATTTTGATAATGACCTCACTTATTGAAAATTCATATTTTATGTATATATATATAGAGAGAGGGGACGGGAGAAAGATCCTGAACTTTAATTTTTTGATAGATGTAAATTCTATGTCAAGTTTTGTTTGCATATAACTGTTAAGTTTTAGAAAATAATTTCAGCATTTATTTCTTAATATAAAATTTCAGATAAAATGTTGCGAAAAACACTGATATTAACAGCCTAAACATACTAATTAAAAAAGAAGTGAAATCGCAGATTATTAATAATATATTCAATATAATATAGTTTAATAGTTCATCGTTGCTTATAGAACTAAATATTTATAGCATAGGCACTTACCAGCAAAAGTCTGTGTTGCAGGATTAATTCCAGCCAACCGTTTTGAGGTGCCAAAATCAGATATTTTCACTACACCATTGTATGTATTGACTAAAACATTATCTCCTTTGATATCTCTATGAACTATTTTTTGATCATGCTGCAAAATAAATAAATCTTACTTATATATTAAAATAGGGTTATTTGTTATTTTAAAACTGAGAATAATATAAGTTTAAATACAAATAGTTAAGATACATACAATGCCACAAACCTCATCGAATTCTGTGCCCTAGAAGTGCAGATATTTTTTATAGAAGTAGCCATGTAGTCCTAATTATTTTTATTTAAGTTTATTGAGTTTTTGCATTTTTTTTAGGTTTGTTTTGTTCATTAAACACCTTTAAAAAATAATTTAAATATTGTGAATAAAATACTATGCATAAGGTTCCATTTCTGAAAACTATTTAACAGAACAATCAATAATTAATGAGATATTCAGTAACTTTGAGATTTCATAGTGGCATTTGGAATGCCAAGTTATAATATGATTAGTATAATCTGAATAGTTTCGTTTAAAAAGTTTCCATAACTAAAAGTAACTTTATAGAGGATACATTCTATAGGTTTTTCAACTGATACAACTACTCTTTAAAGATCCTGTATGCTTCATAAAATTTCCGTTTTTGTAAAATAAGGATTTTTCTCTGAAACCAACACTTTTACAATGAAAAATGTTGATGTATTTTAAAGATAAGTACTATGCACCAAAACCTTTGTTTTAATTTTAAAAATAGTTTAAAGAATTGCACATAGATTTATTTAAACTTATTACTTTTAGAAGACTGGTAGAAAAACAAACCTTTAAAATAATTTGCAAAGATCTTAAATGTTTATAATCAGTTTTCTTTTAAGGTATAAAAAAGCACTGGTAAAAAAAAAAGTTTTGACAGACAAAAAACTAATGTCATAATCTGGTTTGAGAATCCAATTTAGAAATTTACAAAACATACTAATAGTAGGCCTCTTAATCATTAAACGCAAAATCATTCAACAGATTGCTGATCAATATTAATGATTTTATTTACTATGCTTAGAATAATACATGTGCTACAGTAACTAAAGTTAAAAGAGTGGTGAGAATTACTAGTTAACAATGTGAATGATCAGTTACTTATGCAAATATGTAACAAATAGAACTGTTAGTTTGAAAATTTAATACATTTTGATTAAAGTTTGATAGCTCATCAAGTGACTATTTTAAAAGGTATTAAAGAAATAAATACAATTTAAAGCATACTGAACTTATTCTTCTGTAATATATTTTTTTCACAAAAAAGAAAGAAAAAATTCAAATTGATCTAAAACTCTGAAAATAATCACTGTTCAAATTAAAAAAAAAATGAACATTTTAATTAGATTTAACTAGCACAAAACACTACAATTTCAAAGAAAAATATTACACTGATTTAATGAACTAAAATGCAATATTTATGCATTTTAGAAAGACCATACATTGTAAATATTCTATTACCAGATATTTGAGACCTTCCAAAATTTGCTTTGTGTAATACGATATTGTTACTTCATTTCCTTTCAAAGGTCCCCAAATATTCTGTAACAGTTGAGATAAACTACCTGCAAAATTTAGGCATTAAGATAAGATTTTATATACATATAATGAAATTTCAGAGGGCAAAGATTATAGGAAAAAAATCTAATAAATTTTCAAAATTTTTAAAAAAAAATTATTTTATATAAAATGCATAGCTGCCAACTTTTGTAAGCTGTTTTTTGTTTGAAAACATCAACGTTGAAGCTTTCAAAATTGATTTCTGTGTTTAGTAAATCTAATTTAAAATGAATTTGACCACCAAAAAATTAGTTAACTACAGTAAAGCTAATTTATAAGAAGTTTTTAATGGAAAAAAAAAGCATCATAAACATTAAAACTTTTTATGTCGGTAAATTAAAATTTATATAAAAAATTAAAATAAAAGTATATCATAAGATTCAAATGCAAAAGTTCTTAAGTAAATAACAATTGCCTACACATTGAGTAGTATATGTAAAAATTTACCTTAGATATTAACAGTCTTAAGCAATAATAAAGAAATTGCGTATTAAAACTTATTTCAGAGGTTTTTTGTTGCCTCAAAGAGTTTTAATTTTAAAGACTTTTGTATACTTTTTTCTATTGATTTTCAAAGTTTTAAAAAGAAAATTGGCACCCTGAGAAAATTGTTTGGCACCCTTGGAAAGCCAGGAAATAAACAAAATTTCTTGGAAGGGTCAGTTTTGTAGAACTAGGGAATAAACTAAACGGTCAAACTTTTTTTACTGTATCCATAAAATACTTGATAATTATTTGATAAAATTTTTAATTGTTGTTAAAACTTTAATCTTTTTCCCTTTATTCTATTATTTAAATACCACTAACAAAAATGTGCTCTAATTACACAATTATGATTAATAAATATACTATTTAATTCTGAATCAAATTAAAGAACTTCATTTTGACTTAACTCGGTCATAAGCAATTTGTCAATAAATTTTTTTTTCTTCCCCTTTTATCTATTAAAATTAACAGTTTACTAACTAAATTGATAAAATTAAAAAATTAATCAGAATAAACCTGAACAACCATTAAAATAATATTGCTCACCTACTAACCAATATGTTTATCATTAAATTGACTAAATCATTTCTGTTAACACAGGCTCCAAACTATTCAAGTTTCCAAGAGACCCAGCAAGAAATTAAAAATATTTTTAGAAATGTATAAATTTTTAAGATAAAAAGAAACTTAATAGAATTATTATCTTATAAATTAATGTAGGGAAAAACTATAGCTCTTTTTTGATATACAGTACAGAACCCGTTATCCGGAAATCAGAAAACCGGAACGAAATTCGATAAATTTTCTCGCCATTTTCAGAAAAATCTTTTTTTTTTTTCCTCATAGGATTTTACGATTTCTCTTTCTTTTGTGTTTACCTTATCAAAGATGTTTACTTTACCATCATTTTGGAAATAATCATTAGTGTATTACTTCATCATTTGTTCTTTTTTTTAAGATTATTTCCAAATATCTTTTTTTTTTTTTTTAGTTGGGTTTAACAATGAAAAAAACGGCTTTTTGTAGCGATTCAGAAAACTGGAAATATCAGTTATCCGGAATAGCGATGCTCCCGACCGTTTCGGATAATTGGTTCCCTACTGTACAAGGAAATATTTTAAAAGTTGCTTTTTTAATGTATAACTTGTTATTAATTGAAGTAAAGAAATAATATTTCTTTATAAACAGACTTTGAATAGCAGATTATATGAATTGAATAGTGCAAAAAATTTGTCTTAATGTTATTTTTAAACTACCATACAGAAACAATAAAAATAATGCAAAATTATAATTTAATCACTCACCACCGGGTACACGCTCCATAAATATTTTAAAAAACCCATCTTCACTCACTGAACCTAAATATTGCACAATATTTCTATGTCTTAATTCTGAGTGCAGTTTTATTTCTTCGTGTAGAGGCTGTACAACACTGAAAAAATATCAAAGAAATTCATCGTTAAAATAAAATATGACAAGTGCAAAAAAAAAAAGACATACAATATAAATTTGCAATTAATTTTAATATAATGTGGAAAGTATTTTACTAACAAATTTCTCACAATGCTCAATCGAAACAGATTTTTTTTAATCCTTTATAATATTTATAGACTAACAGAAAACAAATTTATAAATTCAAGTCTATAAAATAATAAATAACCTATTATAAGCATTAAATTATCAAAAATAAAAGCAATTTTTATGATAAAAAATTGCATTAAATTATATAAGATGCTTGAAAGTAAAACTCTTATCCAACACCCATTTGTTGTCCAAAGGGGTCAAGTAGTTCAAGGCTCCATAACTTTGAGAACTATAAGCAATGTAGACCCATATCTTTATTTCCCAAGCAAGTAGCTGGGCAATAGATGAAAGACAACATAATTTTCCCATCATTACAGTACACATGATTATATAACGAATTCATTAAAAAGTATCAAATGATTTTAGCAGAACCTAAGCTGGAGGACAGTGTCAAAAAACTACCCAACACAAAAAGGCAAAAAAATCAATATTTGAATATATATTTTTTTAAATAATTTTCAAAGATATAAATAAAACCGAATCTCATCAATATAATATTAAAATGGTGGTGAAACTAATTAAGTAAATTTAAAATTTTGAACACTAAGATAAAATTTCTAAATAACACAATCATGATAGTAATACCTAAAAAGAATTAAATAATAATGTGCAATGCAAGAATTTAAAGTAAAATTAAAAAATATAAAGAATTAATGCTGGTACAATAAAGGGATTAGGAAATTAATAGACAAAGAAAATTTAAGAATTTTCAAAATAGTACTTTACTGTTTCTCACTTATATAAACGAATGTTCTCGTGACTAAAACAAATTAAAATAAATGAGATTTTTTAAAAATTGATTAAGATTCTGATGAAAATTTTAAACATGGATTGTAATAAAAATAAGAATTATTCATTTAGCATCACAAGGATGTTGCCAACACATTGGAAGAAAAGGGTGCTTACAGGCATCAAACTTAGAATCAAATTTAAATCAAAAGTAAAAGTTTAACAAAACATTTAGAAATTAAATAATGCAAAATTTTAGAAAATTATATACTTTTAACATATTAGGTTTATCGAGTTGCCACAAGCACTCAAAAAATTCTATTTATTTATTGTAATTTATCGAATTTCCCAAATTTTTGAACATGAGATGAATTAAGTTATGCCTTATTCTTAAACAAGTTATACTTTTCAAACATTTATACATGTCATTAGGGCAGAAAATAAACTTTAAAAAAAAAAAAATTATTACAAGACCAATTTTTTTGGGAAAAAATATCGGTTAATAAAGTATTTCACATATAAATTTATTCATTTACCAAATTTTTTAGTAATTTAAGTTAAATTTTGTGCTTTTTCTAGATTAATAAAATCTTCTGTCCTTTCTGACTTTCCTTGTTCTGTCGCCAATCTCTTTATTAAAGTTTCAAAAATGCAATCATCAAAAGAAATAAGATTCAAACCACTAATTCTTTAAGTCACTTTGCTGCCCTATATCATGAAATTTAAGCCTATTGGAATGGCACTAAGAAATTAAATTGAAGTGCAATTTAACCTACCCTATGTCTCTTTCTGGAATTTCTTTAATTGCTATCTGAACTTGAGTAGTGAGATCTCTGGCAGCATAGACAACACCATAAGTACCTTTTCCTAGGATAATTCTTCTTTTCAAATCATCTAATTCATATTCATACTGTGAAAAAAAAATACAAATTAAATGCTGGTTTATTCTGTAGACAAAAAGTATAAGAGTGATAATAAAAAACAAAAAATTCAACAAATAATCTTTAATAATTTTACTGTAAAGTTGATAACAATCCTAGTCAAGCAAAATACTTTACAAAATCAAATTCCATTGAGTGAATTATTATAAATACAAAATCATTACATTCCCACTATCGAAGGTATGGAGTGCAGTCAAACACTCCTTCGGCAATTATGAAAGAAAAATATAAAAAAGATAAGAAAAGCTGTTAAAGAGTTACATTATGCATTAAACAGAAAATGTTTGAAACAATAGAGTTTTCCCAGAGTTTGAGTGGGTATAAAAAATGCAAGATAGAAATGTTTCTCTTCAAGGAAGTCTCATACGAGAACAGGCTGAGACATTTTCAAAAGATATTAAAATTGATTCTTCTCAAGCAAGTACCAGATGGCTTGAGAAATTCAAATTGCGAAAAAGAACTCTGCAAACAGTGATGTCTGATGAAAGTGTAGCCAACGTACACTATGAAGATTAAATTCATAATGTGTTACCTTTCTTGATAGAAGGCTACAATCCTGATGATATCTTTAAAGCAGAGAAGACAGAGTAAGGGAAGAATAACTTATATTAAAAGCAACACGACTGCCACAAAGAAGTTAAGGCTACTAATCATTTGGAAATCAACGAGGCTGTGATGTTTTTCTGGCATTAAATCATTACCCACTAATTTTAGCCTAATGGTTGACATAAATTATTTTTGAACAATGGTTATCAAAACTTGATTGTAAATTTTAACCTGAAAGAATAAATGTTTTATTTTTTATTGACAATTGTGCAGCTCATCCTAAAGTGCCTCAAAGTTTACAAAACATCAAGCTTGTCTTCTTTCCACCCAATGAAATCAAACCTTCAGTCTATAGACCCAATATGCTATAAAAATCCTAAAACTAATTTATTGAATGAAAATATATCCAGTGAATAATCAGAAATGTTCAAGCACAGAAGGAAATTTTTGATATCAATCATCTCAAAGTCATAGTGATTATTCCAAAACCTTGGGAATAGATGAAGTACATTTGCAAATTGCTTCCAAAAAGCCAGATTTATCTCACCTAATTTAGACAAAAATAAATAAAATCAGAGAAATAAAAAAATTTAACCAGAATTATAAGATAAATTGTTTTTCCTTTCGATGATTTTAACAATGTCTTTGATATAAATGAAAATCTAGAAATGACAGAATATCCATAGTTATATATTCTTCTTGACAATAACGAAGAAAAAGTTGACTCAGATCATTAGGTTGAGAACGATGGAGAAATGGATCTTAAAATTATTTTTTCTTCATAACACCAAGTTCTCACTGCAGTAAAAATTCTTTGCTCATACATTCAGACACTGTGCGAAGGGTTGAAGATGAGGTTTTTAGTGTGTGAATGTTTCGAAAAAATTCTAGGATAAATAAAGGTACAAAATATAAAACAAAAAAAAAAGTTACAGAATTCTTTCAAGAAACACAAGTTTCTAATTTTGTCGTTATTTTAAATAGTGAAATTGAAATGCTATATTACTCAATATTTGAATGTTAATATTGTGATGGCTCTTTGAGTTATCAAGCTTCACTGTATTATTATATAAAACTAAAGAATCTCCCATTTTAGTTCTTTTAAAGATAAGAGATTTTAAAAGAAAACAGTAAAAACCATTTCAAAGTTATTTCTAAACACCTACCTGTAAAATGGTATTTATGTCAGTATTTAGGTCTGTTATAATATTATCTTCTGACATTTCTCTGACTAAATCATAAAACCTTTGTTTTAATTCTTCTGAAGGAAAGAACATTTGAAAATCATCAGAGTTTTGATGAACATAGAGGAACAAACATCTCTCATCTCTTGCATAGTTACTGTGTAAAAAAAGAAAATTTATTTAATAAAGTAAAACAGAATTTAAAAATAAACAGCAATAGCATCTACATTTAGACTTAGATACAACCAATGAAATATACAAAAAAAAAGTAAAATAAAAAAATGCTTAAAATGACATAGTCGTTCTGATTCTGTAATATTAATCATATTTAAAATAAAAATAAAAAATAAAATTTATAGATAAACAGAATAAAATAAAGCATTAGGAAGAAAAGCAGTAATAACATAATATTAGATTTATAGACTAACCATAGGCAAGGACTTTTAATTGTTGAACATGAATGTCTTTTTTTCAGCGTACATTTATATTGGGTAATGTTCTTTAGTTGAAAATACTTCAACAAATATTATTCACAAATTTAAATTTTGTACACATGAATTTTCATTATACAAACTTAATTCTTATATGTTATTGCTTGCAAAAGCTTCTAAAAACTTTTTGATAAAGCAACATGCTGATAGAAAATGAGATATATAACGCTTTCTACAAAACGTACAAAAATGGCTCCAACAAATTAAAAAGATATGATTAATTTTTTTGAAAACCTTATAAGCAGATAACTCGAGGGGATATTCAAAGACAATAAATATACATTGAACCTATAAAAATTAAAAAAAAAAAAAAAAACTAGATAATGTTAAGGCATTGCTGCTGCATCAATCTGAACCGTAGTCCATCTCTGCTTTTGCACCAACAACATATGCTCTGATTTTCGGCCAATTGTTCCCAAGAATAACAGAAAGAAACCAGTTTAAGTTTGTATGCTTGTGTGTGAATATATATATATTTATTGTTTTGTTTTAATGTAAATTTCTTTTTTTTAAATTCAATCTACTAATTAGGAAAAATACAAAATGTGAAAAAAAAATTCAGATTCTCTAATTTTTGTAAATTTTGAAACACTATTTTCTTACATTTAATGTGACACATCTGTATATTTTTTTGTGGCTAAACAGTCTGTCCCATCAATTGAAACTATCATTAAAATTAAAATTTTTTGTTTAAAAATATTGAAATCTAGTAGTTGGCATGTTTGATTTTTTTACTATCCTGAATCATACAAATTTTAACAGTTTAAAAAATGTGATAATTTACATTTTTCTATGCATTTTAGTCCAAGATAAAAGTACAAAAACAATAAATTTAAAAAGATATACCTCACACTTTTGAAAGAAGACTTTGTAAATAAGAATTCGTGAAGTTTTGTACATTTTCCTTTGAGAGCATCTAGGCACAGATTGTTTATATGGACAGATTTTTCTTCAGCACCCAAATTAACTGTTACATAGCTAGGCATGTATACTTTTCCAGGATCAAGAATTAAAATCTAATGATGAAAACAAAATAATTACTCAAATTTAGTTTCAAATAATTCAAAATTAATACAAATTTGTATAATTGTTCTTAATATTCAGTTAATCAAAGAAAAATAATAAATACTTCAGACTGATTATTAAAATTATTATTAAAAAAAACTTATGATAAAATAACGGCTTAAATTTTTCAAAATTTATATCTAATTCATTTATTCATAAACAGGATGAATTTGAACAAGATGATAAAACTTTATTGGGCGATAGAGTGACACTGAATGTATTCTTGGAACAGAAACAGTGAAAAACTGAAGTTAGTTTTCAACTGCCACATTTAAAGAATTAACAGAATGGGAAAATATGCTTCAGAAGACTTTTCAATCACAAGAATATGATTGATGTACTAAGAAATTGTTCAAAAAAGAAAAACGAAATTGATGTACAAAGAATTGCTCAAAGAAACTGCTTGTCGTTTTAACAAATCTATGTCACTTCCTAAACCACAAGTGTGAAGCCTGGGTCGCCTCTAGTGGGAGATGTTTTGAGCAATTTCTTAGCATTTCTTCAAGCAATTGTTTGTACAGCAATCAAAGTTTTATGAAGCGTCATTTTCCATTCTGGGGTGCAGTGGAAACTACCTTTTAACTTCTCACTGCGTGTGTTTCGATCATGCATTCAATGACGAATAATGCTTGTGTAGATGTGTAATTTCAAACCCAGTAAAGTTTTACAGTCTTGTTCAAACTCTCCCTATATATAGACAGGAAAATAGCCTGCTTGAATATATGGACATTGTTTACAGTCAAACTAAAAGTATTTGAAAATGTATATTTATATAAAATATTTATTACAACATCTTAAGTACAGCATATTCAGAAAAAAATAAAGGTGCAAATTCTGAATAAATAAGCTCCCTTAAAGCGGCACATACCTTTTCATTTTCTAATAAAGTGTATTTAAAAAAAACTATAGACAAGTTTATTTATATATGTGCCTTACATCAGTTCATTTCCTCAATATTTAACTCATGCTAATCTAATTGTTATTAAATAATGGTTGCATAAAAACAAAATTTCATTCTTTAATTAAGTTTAAAAAAAAGTTTTTAAGCATTGAATATTAATATAACTACAGCACTGAAAAATAGAAATATAGTTATATGAAGAATTCATACACAAAAGTTGAATACTTTTTTTTAAAAATTGAAGTGAATAGATATTAAATGTTTATTACATGATCTACTTATTATTTAAAGCATATATTCAATGGTACGAATATAAATCAACATATTCCAATTAAGCATTACTTGAACAATTCAGTTTCATCAGAACTGAATTGAAATTTAACAATTAATATCAATCAGAAGAAAAACGCTTGAGAAAAAACTAAACATTCTATCTAAATGAGCAAAATTACAGATATTTTTTAAATTTACTCATTCTCTAATTAAAAAAAATGAGAAACAGATCTGAAACGATTTTATTTGGTAGATAAATAATGTTAAAATGTTAAAATTGAAACAAAATCAAATTTCATAAACAGGTTTTTCAGCACAAACTGGTCCAAAACAAAAACAAGTTCAAAATAATGGGAAAAAATTCAAAATTTGCTCTCAAAGTATGAAACATTCAGCTTCCCCTTACCCCCCAATTTTTTAGACATTCACTTTCTAATTTTATTCAGTGGAAGAGCAGTAGATTAAAAAACTAATTTAACCTTGGCAATTGTTTTTAATAAGAATTAAAAAAAAAAATTTCTTAAGAAATTCTCCACTTTTCAAAACCTCAATTACTCACGGGAAATCTAATACAATCTTCAATTTCTTCAGAATAAGCTGCAATAAAATATTCCAACCAAAAGTTAAAGACCTGCAAAAAAAAAAAAAANAAAAAAAAAAAAAAAAAAAAAAAAAAAAAATTATCAAAATGAAATGCTTACATCAAAAAAATTCATTACATTTTCATATTTTCAAAAAACTGGAACATGTATTGGAGTAAAACTTTGTCTTTATTGAAAGATAATTTAAAAGTTACAGTTTTTCTAAACATAAGAATGAAGTTAGATAAATTTAAAGGCTAGAAACATTCAAGGTAAGATATAACATTAAAAGAAAATTTATTTTAGGTCATATATTACGAATATATATTTAAGGTTACTGGTAAGAAACATTAGAATACGGTTAAATACATTTATACAATTGTCAAAAAATGCAGACATTACCAGAAATAAATATTTATTTGTTTGAAAGTTCCAATACTAACAACTAGCCAAAGAAGCTAAGCAATGGAACAGCACAAATCTATGCCGAATATGTATGGCTACTGTGAAGGCTGTAGAGTTCTCTAAGCGTAGAAACAACGAAAGAAAATATTGTTGCATCATCACTGATTCAATGATGATGCAATAATATTCTGACACTGAAGCATGACCATGAAAAATTAGATATTGGAAAGAAATTTTAATTTTGGTAGAGGAGTCATTATTAAGTGGAAGAATAGCAGGTATGAATAAGAAAGGTTCTGCTAGGCTGCGAAAGGTCAGAATTAGTTACTATAAGTGACATACATTAAGGAAGGTTAGGTACTGAAATAAAAAATAGGATAATACAATAAAAGGTATGATAATTATAAAAAGATTTAGGCCCTAAATTAAAATAAGAACAATGTGATTTTTTTGTTGAAAAAATTATTAATAAACAGAACTTCAGTTAAACAATTAACATAACTTGTTGTACATTGATTGAAGTCAGAGTAAACAAGAGAGTGGAAAGGATCATAGAAACATGGAGCTAGCTTTCTGATTGTTTGTGTTTTGGAATGAATCTCTTCTGATTGTCACTGCTGCTGGTCAAAACTCCTTTTAAAATAAACTTCAGTTTCATAATCCTTATCTCAGTTTTTGATTTATTGTGACTGAACTCTTTTTGCTCTTGATCTCCTCATTTTACAATGTTCAAGATTATCAAGTTGAAACAGCTTGATCAAAAAATTGATTTAAAATATAAACAATGAAAAAAATCCTTACAGAATTAATGATATAGCGTAAAAATACCTTCTCCTCTGCAGATAATTCAATATTTTCAGGTTTTCTACGAAATCTATTTATTAATTCAATGTTTCCAATTGTAGACTTCAAATACCTAAAATAATAAAAATAAATTAATTTATTGTCACAAAAAATATACACCGAAATTGCATCCTGTGACCAAATTTTTTTAATTACCAGTTTGGTGGTTTCAAGTCAAACATGCACATTGCTGCTTGAGTAGCTTTAGAATAGTCCTCAGCCAGCACACTAATTTCAAAAAAGGTAGCCACACCCCAATAATCTTTCAGGGAATTTAAACTGCCTTTTCGTCCAATTAGATTATTTAACACACGGCCTATATCTTGCAACTCAGTAGATTTTGAAAAATCGTTTCCAGCTATAACTAATAGAGTGGCAAGATTTATACCAGCATATTCATTTGGTTGAACGTCAAAGCCCTTTCGATACCTAAAAAAGTAATTTGGATATAATGAAATTGAAATTTCAAAAATTACTCTCAAATGATAATAGCTTTAAACAGTTGGGAACAAATAAGTAACAAGAGATTAAATCATGCAGAAACTTCTGTATGCCTAGTAAATAAATTGCTTTAAAAATTTAGACTATCACAATATTAATACCTATTTTTTAAAGAATTAATAGGATACATTCATTGAAACTATTATTGAAAATTTATGTGAAAAACATAAAGACTAATCATTCATAAATGACAGCATTTAAAGCCAAATCATGAATAGCCGAATCATGAATCAACCATCAATATCTGAAGTAGGTAAATAAAAAATATTGGACATAAGGGATAATACGTTGTATAGATTTAATTGATTTTTTTAAAAAAGAAAATAATTGACAAGATTTTGATTAAATCTACATTTTCATTGATTAAAAAGTTAAAAAAAAAAACATTTCTCTTTTAGTAGGAAATACTTTCTTTCAGGTACGTGGTTGCTTACTTGTTTGTTTGCTCTGTTAAGTTATTAATGGTACCAATTTTGAAAAATGCAATTAAATTTGTTTTGGCACCTAAAAAACGTCAAAAATATTTTGACTAGCCCCTTTGCGCTACAGTATATTTCCTTAGGTAATATACTTTTAAAATATGACATAAAAAAACTATGATATAAGTAGAACAATTAAGAAATTTTTTTTAATAAAGTAATTTTAATAAAAAGCAAAGAAAAAGCAATGCAATATTAGAATTCTAATAACTTAAATTCAGCACTTTACCAAAATATAAATTATTTAAACAATATTTTAATTTTTACTTACAAGATACTACTGATTAGATATGTAAACTTAATTTTTTTAATACCAATGTAAATAATGAATATTAAACCTCTAGGCTATTGGAGCGTTATCAATGACACTTTTGTCAAATTTTAATCAGAGCAATGTTTAAAATAGCTATCAAAAATTCGAAATTTTTAATGCTTTAATGTGCATTCGGAAAGAACTCTCTGTCCACAAGTCACACCTCAAGATTTCCAAAATCCCTACACAAGAGTCAAATACTAAATATAATCTAAATTATGAATAGGAGCAAAACATACCATTTTATAGCTTTATTTAAACTTTCCATGTCAGTGTAATTAGATTCTACAAACTTATCTTTGTAAATTCTACCACAAAGACAAAGCATATCTGGAACTTCATTTTCTTTTTTCTCTAAAGATTTTTTGATAACATCCAAGGCTTTTTCTCTATCACCTTCTTTGTTCCTCCTGAAATTAAGGAAGATAATTAAGGTAAAGTGAAATAAAAGCAAAATTATTAAAAGTTTTTTTTTCATCCAAAAGTAATACATTTAATGTGTTAGAATATGGAGTTTTTATGGAGAAGCATTATTTTTAAAAATAATTTTATAGGGTATTACTTATTCTAAAAATATATTTAGGAGTGAATTAAATTTTTCTTGTACTTTTGTAGTTGATTTATAGCTTAATTAAAGTGAAGGTTAAGTATTTATTATGACTAATTACACATGGAACATGTAATTAGTCATAATAAATACGTAACCTTTACTTTAATTAAGCTAAAAATTATTATTATTATTATTATTTGACATAGCATTTGAACCATGGACTTTTTTACAGGGTTTATTTACATTCACAATTTCTAAAAAATAATAATAATCCTTGAGATCTCTAAATTTTCCAGATTGATGATTCTAAGTAGTACATGCAGTATATAAATTAAGAACACAGATAGTATATGAATTATTATTGGTAGATAAAAAGTAACACTAAAAGACCAGTACAAAATAAACCATATCAGTACAAACAAGTACAAAATATACTGTATCAATACAAAACCAGTATCTCCTTTATAATATCAAGTAACTTTATACAACAGCATGACATTCACAGATATCAGTACACCACTTGTATTTTAAATAATTCCGAACAGATAAATCCATGAAAACAATTTCTACAGCACTATTGCATTAAAAAAAATAATAACCGGTATCAGCTGGTAAATATTACCTCATATCAAAATTTATTTAAATTTGTAATCAAGTTCAATACTTTTTCCAAGCTTTCAAGACTTTCCGAATACAAGATTAAACAAAACACAGTAAATATACCGTTCAACATTTTTTACAAAAGTAATTTGTTCAGTGATCCTTCAACTCACCATTTTAAAATAATCTATTTAATTAATGTACTCTTAATTGGAAATAAATTATTTTTAAAATCAGATAAATCAATTACAGTGAAAATTTGTCTGAACCATGTCAAATTAATGGATGGTCCGTAAGTTTGAATTATTGATTTTTACTATTTTAACTAACATTAATGATTAAAAAAAAGATGGATCAAAAATCTAACTCTCTTGATTCTCTAAATCATTGATTTGAATTTCTATTCATAGATAATTAGATGTTCTGTTGATATGCAAAAATCTAGAATATCAGATTAAAAAGCAAAGGACATAATATTAGTACAAAATATTATAACATTAATATATATAAATCAGGAATATATAATATTAATATTTATAAATTAGGAATATCAGGACAACTAAAAAGGAATAAAATCAAGTTTGAAACAAACTAATAAGATAAAAGTAATAAGCATTAAAATAAACAAAAAAACAAACCTATTCAGAGCGAATGCATGTAAGTGTTGTATGGCAGGAGTAAATGTAAACTTTAAGTTTGGAATTGTCATTAAGTCATCCACTAGTTTTACCATGGCATCATAATCCTAAAAATTGAAACGTCTAAGGTTCAGGAACTTAATAAACTTCCTTGCATTAAATATTATTAAATTAATTCATCACTATTGGTAATTACACACACATATATATATGTATATACAATAAAATAATAATATTCCCAGAATTGAATTTTAAATCAAAAATGAAATATTATTACTACATTTAAAAATAATCAGCATTAATATGAAATATTCTAAAATGAAATTTTATCTCAATTAATGAAAAAGTAAAAAAAAAAAAAGCATAAGTAATCATTTCAAGTAAAAAAGATTTCTGTTAAAAAAGAGGAGAAAATACTAACTTGAACTTCCCGGAAAGATATCAACATATTAAGAACAACATCTCCAGATATTATATTGGGATCATCAAGACGCTTACGCATGTTCCTAAGAACCTGAAAAAAATTCATTTCTTTTTTTAAACTTGAATTAAGAGTAACTCTTTCACAACAAAATGAATTGAAAACTTAAGATATCATTGAGTCAAATAAATATGAATAAAATAGATTTATCTCGAGCGATAGAATATTTATTTGTAATATTAACAGAAGCTTATAAAATTCAATCAATATAGTAAATAATGCTTTTTTTTATAAGTTAAATTTAAATACATGGTAAGCATTAGTTAGGACAAGAGTAAAATTTTTATGATTGATAAAACTATACCAGTTAATTTTTAGAAACCTAAATCATTATAAACTAACATCTTTTAAATTAGAGGTTCCTTTCTTATACATGCGAAAAATTCCAGAGTTCATTTTAAGTTTTGGCTTTGCAACTGTCAAATTTTAATCCAATTTTTTGATAGTAAATAAATGGTTGCATTTTTGTATAACATTGCAACACATCTTTTTCTGACTCTGCTAATGCAATGATACTCAATACTTCAAAATACTATAATTAACTTGAAAATTAAATTATTTTGTCTTTGTCATAGATTTGAAAAAAAAAAGCAAAATTATGTATTTTAGTTCAGTTTAGTTTAGTTGTTGTAAATTATAAAAACAAAGCAAACCTTGGAAAGCTCTTCTCCTGTATGAGTTTCCCTTGCTTTGCGCAAATCTGATAAGAATTTTTCTTTCATATGAGCTCTAAAAATAAATGAACAATAATTATAATTTCTTCAACAAAAATTTGATATGAAAGCACTTTAAAATTTTCTGTGTAAGATTTTGGATGAAGAAATTTTTTTAAACATTGGAAACAAATAAAATTTTCAAAGAAAAGAATTTAATATAAGTTATTACATTTCTGTAAACAAAATTTACAAAACAGAAAATATTTAAATTCAAATATTAACAGACTTTTTTTCTCGTTCAAAGTTGCTTTTCAATTTAAGTTTAATCTAGTTCAATTCAAAATTATTGTTTTCGTATCTAGAATAATATTTTATCAAGAATATTTTTTAACTTCACTTATTTCTAAATCGTTATTATTCTAAAACACACTTTACGAAATTTATTTTATTAATACTTACTTGGATTGCACTTCAACTTCCTGCAAACTTCTCTTCAACCGACAGTTTAGTAGTATTTTAGACTCAATGGAGTCATCAGTAACATGCCTTAGACCTGCTGAATCTATTGCAACACACTGACTAGAATCGTTTAGTTTGTATAAAAGAAGAGTATAATTGGAAGTGGTGCATGATAACTGAAATATAGCACACATAGATTAGAGAAAACAAAATCATATTTATAATCAGTAAAAATAAATGACTACAAAAATTCAAATGAATAACATAATGTGCTCGTTGCACTAACTGGAATGCTAAGGTGAAAATATATTCAAAAATAAATATGGTGTCTTGCCCAGAGGAGTCTATGACTTTTGCACATCAAGTTTAACAAGTATCTTATTTCAAGCCTCAGTTGGTTGTCGCCAAAATTTGATAGCAATTTAAGCACAAGAACTTAAAATAAAATAAATCCTCCATTGTTCAAAAACTTAATTAATATAATTATAAAAGAGTATAGGTGGAAATGGTGCAGGGTAACTGAAATATAACACACATGGATCAGAAAAAACAAAAGACACATAATGACATTAACATTTAAGATCAAAAATAAATAAATGACTAAAAATATGAAAAATAATTCGAACAAAGTAGAATCATGTATATAAAAGTGGGCACTTAAATTATATATTTATTTTTATTTTCAAAGTATAGTACAACCTCAACTATCCGAAACCCTTATCTGAACATTTCTATTAAATAGAGAAGATTTAAAAGAGTTTTTCTTATCTGTTTTTTTTTTTAAACAGAATCCATTTTTTTTTCTTTTCTCAATTTCAATAATAAAACTATTGTAATTCATTACCTTTATTATTCCATTCATTATACCTTCAAAATAAAAAATAATTTGAATTTCCTGACTACAATGAATTGATCCTTTTTGTTTTGTTAAATAAATCTGAAAGTTATAATTTTTATCCTGTTGCTATTTTTATTAAAACTAATGCAATTTAGTTTAATTATCATTGATTTCCTTTTTGAAGCAAATTAGATATCTGAGCAAAAATAGAGTAGCTACATCCCAAAATTATTCACATATATTCAAATGAAATAAACAGAAATACTTACTAAGAAACATAAATCAATGAAATAAGCAACCTTTTAAAATATACAGTTAGTTACAAAAAACACAGCTGTAACTTTACCTGTGGACAACAGTGAAAATAAATTTTAATATATCTCTATATCATATCTGTTAGACAAAATGATATTAATTAAAGGGTCATATTACTTTAAATAGTATAGAGCAGTGTTCCCCAACCCCCGGATCAAATGATACCGGGCCCGCCCATTTCATTGATACTGAATTTAAATTCCTAGGTTCATACCACAAATCAAAAATATTTGTGCCCCATTAAAATTTTACTTATTTTAAAAAAAAGGAGCCCCTGAAGGTAGTAACATAAATTTTTAATGTTTTAAAAAGAAAACTACCGCACCTTTTTTCTCTTTCAATTAGTTTTAATAAAAAAAATCAATCATCATAACTGTAAATATCATAAATAAAACACGAAAGCGCGGCTCGAAATTTACATTGGAACAAATGAAGAACTTCGTGTTCTCTCACGATCGCGACTCCTTGCTTTAACGTTCTAGTAAGTTAAAATATTAAATCACTTTATATTTATTTTTTGGTGTAATTGTATTCTATTTTGAAGGCATGTTTGAATACAATTAAATCAAAATAATCTAAAATATTAAAAATCAAGGTCTGCCCCCCCCAGCAGGCCACTGTAAAATTGACAGGTCCGCGATGATAAAAAGGTTGGGCAACACTGTTGTAGAGCAGTATTTTTTTTAAAGAGAGCTTCAAAGTTTATTGATGAAAATAGATTTCAAATCAATGACACCTATACAATCCGAATGCTTCAATTAACTATATTAAGTTCGTCTATTTCGAATTATTTTGGATGATTTAGTTTTCAATATATTGGCAGTATTGTTTAGTCATTGTAATTAATTAAAGATATACACAGATGTGAATAATTATACATTTACAAAGATAAAGTAAAAGCAAAAAAAAAAAAAAAATCACAGTATTTACCTTTAATGGAACATTTGATGCAGGATCACAGTCATTAAACATTAAAATGTTTTGTTTCATTTCAAAGCTCTCTCGTACACCCAAATGATAAAACAATGGACTATGCTGGTCCTAAGAAAAAAATTGAATATTGTAGATAATAGGGAAAAAAAAGTACTAATGTTTGTTTTTGAAAATGGAGCTGCTTTACCATGATTGAAAGATCCACAATAGCAACATCTGCATTGTAAAACATATCGATCACATTCATCTCTCCAAAATCTAGTTTCTGAAACTCTATGTGATGACATTTACCACCCACAGCATGACAAGCTTTTTTTACTTCGTCGAAAGCTCTCTGTCGTTGATGACATTTTTCAGGGATTGTCTAAAAATTGATTTATTAATTACTATTTTAGCATTTAACACTTATTTAATATTGACTATTTCAACAGCTACTAAATTTTTTACTTTTTGAAAAATATTTACCACAGTTGTAATGAAATGAAGCAGGAATCTTTTTTTTTCATTTTTAAATTTAGCAATCACCAAATAACTTTAATAGGGTTCATTCTTGCATGGAGATACAACATTACAAAATTGTAAACAAATACAGGCAAAATCATACACAAAGATGGCTAAGTTGTCACTTTAAATATACATTTATTCTGCTCTTCATGTATTATTTTAAAGATCAGATATTAAAAATAACAAAGAAAACAGGAGTAGTACAGCCAAAAGAGATATCAACATAAAACATGACGACTTATAAGTATTTTTAAAAAATAAATGAGTATAAATATGAAAAAATATCATTCTAAGACCAAATATTGAAAATTTAAAATAGTTTACTAACTCTTAAAAAAAATTCTTTTAAAAAAAATTAAATAACATTTTTAATAATGTACAGTGCACCAAAAGAAAATCGCACCCTGAATAACTTCTGATCTAATGATCGGATCTTCATGTTCTAGGACTCAATCTTAATGGTTCCATTGGGTGACTTCAAATATGTTAATTAGTGTAGATGATATTTCAAGTTAAGAAATCAGAAACAAAAATCAACTTTATCTTAATAAACATATCTTTTTTCCCACTGATTTGGATTTCTAAACCCCTAAAATATAGAGGATAGCTGCAATCTGTGAAATATGGTCAAAATAGCTTGGTGTGGAAAGCGATCTAAAGTTTGGACCTCTTAATGTTAATTTTATTTTTTTCGTATTCCGCCATAGCTCGGAAAATTTAGGCCAACAGAAATTTTTTTACACACAATTATAAAATTCCTGTATCTAACGATAATTCAAGGGAAAAAATTACTTTCAGCATATATATATATTATTTCTTATTATTTTATTCAATAATAGTTGAAAAAATTTCGCATTGCAAAAGGTATACAATTTTTTACACGATTTGAAATAACGTAATATTACATCGTGAAATACAAAATTTGAGCAAAATCAGTTGAATAGTGCCTCAGCAACTTAATTTCAAACATACAATTTTTTTAAAATTAGATTTCTCAGTAATTATTCAACCAATTTTGTATTTTGAATGTAAAATAATGTCTTTAAAATTATGTAAAAAATTGTATACCTTATAATTCAAAATTTTTTCAATTATTATTAAATAAAATAATGAATATTTACTAAAAATTATTTTTTGTATGGAATTATCTTTGGATAAAAGAATTTTATATTTGTGAGCAAACAATTTTCACTTAAAAAGTTCTCTGGATATAGTAAAATATGAAAAATAAAATTAACATTTAGTGCTACAAACTTCGGACTGCTTTCCTGACAAAAATATTAGGACTATATTTCTCAAATTGCAACTTGTATGTCTGAGGTCAAAAATTCAAATTCGTCCAAAAAAAAAAGTTTATTTATTCCGAGAAAGTACCTCCTTTTCTACTGTGTCTCCTTTTGTTACCTAAAATATCGTCTGAACTAATTAATTAGCATATTTGAGGTCACCCCCCTGAAACACTTAGATTGAGTCCTAAAATCTGAATATCCGATCAGTAGATCAAAAGTTATTCAGAGTGGTCCATTTTTTGTTTTGTGCACTGTACAATACAGTACAGAACCCGCTATCCGGAAATAAAAAAACCAGAACGAAATCCGATACATTTTCCCGCCATTTAAAAAAAAAACTTTTTTTTCCTCATAAGATTTTTCTTTCTTTTTTGAAAGATGTTTACCTTACCATCATTTTAGAAACAATCATTAGTGTATTACTTCATCGTTTTTTCTTCTTTTTAAGATTATTTCCAAAAAGTTTTTTTTTAGTTGGGTTTAACAATAAAAAAAAAAAATGCTTTTGTATCGATTCAGAAAACCGGAAAAATCAGTTATCTGGAATAGCGATGGTCCCGATCGTTTCGGATAATCGGTTCCCTACTGTATTATTTAATTTATGACGTTTTAAATGGAAAATCATCAAAATTAAATTACAGTGAATAGTCTAAAAATATTTACTACTAGTAAGTTTGTTTCGCTTTTTGTATTTCAAGAAATTTTTAATTAGTAATTTAATAGTATTAAAAGTAAAAAAAGTAACGATTAATTATGAAAAAATAAGTTAATTAAAGTTTTCGGTTGACCTTTTAAATTAGTTTAAAATGATACAGAAGCAAATGTAAAATTTTTTTGTTGAGAATTTTAACAAAAAAATGTTGATTCTCTTTAGATAGCAAAAAGTTTTGCTTTATTAAAGTATCTACTTATATGATAGGTGTGGAATTTAGGGGTCTTTTTATAAACATTTCAAAATGTTCTAAAAACAATGAAAGATAGAAGTACTACTTTTTGCAGATCAAATATAAATTTTTATGTAAAAAATAAAACAAAAGCCTCAAACTGAGATTAATCATCAGTGTTCTATCAAAGCAAAGAAAGGAATATGACGTTTATTTGGAACTGCAGCTAAAAAGCTGTTCCTAACAAAACACAAGTGCATTCCAGTTTTAGTAGACAAGAGAAATGAACTTGTTTTCGGCGGTGGTTTTAACCCTTGCCTTTGCTCTGATGAAACTTAATTCCTGTTAATTCCAGAGTTATTTTTTTTACATAGATATATAAACGTAAATTTATCTAATTTTAAATAATATTAATTTGCTTGAGATTACATTGTCTGAAATTTCACTGAAGATAGGTAAAAAGTTAAACCATATTGAAAGTAAGATGTGCAAAATAGACAAAATACTGACCAAGTCAATTACACAAGCTACATTTATTCTAGCTTTCTGGTGAGACTGATTAGCAGCTGATGTTTGAGAATTATTTTCTTCCATTGTTATGCAAACTTTAAAGTACGCACACACATCAAAGTATGTCTAGAAAAAAATTATAATTGAATAAATTTTATATGAGATGTACCTAAAACATGTGAAGTAGTTTAGCAAATAAAACAAACTTCCAGCCAACCATTGATTATTTGTTGGACAAGACATTCAAAAACACAGGATTTACATAGTTTACTGATAGCTAAAATAAGATATATCCAGAAACAGTTACTAAGTGTAGCTATTACTTCTGACTTGTTGGAGCACTAACATGCCACTACTTATTTTATTACATAATTTGCAATGTTTTGCTTTTCTAATGCTTTGCTTTTATTTATAGTTAAATATTTTGATATCATTATAAAAAGAGACTTATTAAGAATGATCGGGGATCACTAAAACTCAAAAGAAAGGAAACAAGTCTAAAATATTACAGGATTGCTATTTATATGAGTCAATTTTTCACAAAAGTTTTAAATATTAAATGGTTCTATTTCAAAAAAAGAAACATTAGGGAGTTATTATTTTAGATAAGTACAATAGAAATTACTCGGTAGTTTATATTTTTTTAAAAATCTTTTCTTCCAAATCATTACTAAAAAAGTGCTCTAGAGTTAATATGCCTATTTAAGTTCAAAAAATAGAATAAAAATGGTACAATTAGACTGAGGAATTTAATTAGATGAGCAGTCTTATATACACAATTGAGCACAACTTTTTCTTACCTGATTAAAAAATTACTTCAACCACGACTTTCATTCCCATTTAGTCTGTTTCGTCTAACTTATATTTAAAAGCCATATTCCACTCAGCTTACGCTCTGCAAAATTAAAAAATTAATATGAATAAAAAATGAAGAGCTCAGCCAAAGACAAATATATGCAAGCAACATAAGTTGAAAAATTATTCAATATTGACGTTACAGCATAAAAAAGCTTACCCGTTGGAACACACAGTAAATATGTATACTCCCCGACGCTAAAATAATTAGTAATTCTCAATACAGTAGAGCGCCGATTATCCGAACTGCTCGGGACCGAACGTGGTTCGATTAATCATAAGGTCGGATAGTTGTTTAAAATCTAGTTTAAATTATTAATTATTATTTATGCACTAACTTCCCTTCTCACTTTTTCCAGGCTTAGGACTGGCAGTACTATCTAAAATAGTTCTGGCGTGTTTAAAAGTATTTTTTTCTTTCAATATATATTTCTTTCAATAAATATATGTTTATTATTTATCACATTTCAGCTTTTTATAATTTTTTTGTCAATTACCAGGGGTCTGTCCACGTTGAATTTACTACCGTTTAGCGGGACCTTCACAAATTCAATTTTAGGAAAACCGGTAGTTTCGCAAAGTACTTTTTCTTAAGATTTTATTTTTGTATCCTTAAGAAACGATAAATCTATATTTTTACTATGTTTTTGTGTTGATTTTTTAATATCATTTTTAATTTTTCACATATTATGTCTAAATTTTCACAAAATAGATACCTCTCGGAAAAACCTAGACAAACCCCTGATTACTGATTTTACCACATTTTTCTTAATTTTCCATTGCAAAAGAAATCCAGCAAAGACTTTTGTTTCAAAGATGTTATTTTTGGTTGTAAATAAAATATGGTCATCAAATGAAGTGGATATTATTTATTCTTCTAAATTTAGAAAAATTGTCGATAAGTTAAAAACTATTCTAAACTTAAAAAAAAAAAAAAAACGAATTCGGTCATAGTTTGGATAATTGAATGTTCAGATAATAAGGGTTTGGAAAATCCACGCTCCACTGTACTTAACATATTATTCAATATAAACATAATACAGAATATAACATAAAAAATCAATTTAAATTTCCTACCTACAATAGATAAAGAAATTGCCATAGTTGCAAACATGCAAAGAAAAAATCTAGTAGATTTTACGAAATAACATAAATGTCATGCTTACTATTATGGCAACATCAAAAATATTTTAAACACATGAATTTTCAAGACTTTTACAGTCAATAACATATAAAAACTACATTCCACTATTAAATATAAATTAACTGAAATATTTTTGATTATAATTGATATTAAATGAACTTGGAAATAGTTTGTTTTTATTATTCTACATTTATTTTTTATTTCAAATTTCAATAAAAGATATGGAAATTATATTAGATAGAATATTTTCTTCAATTATTTGAAAATAAAGCTTAGTGAAAAATCAAAACTTTTGAACATTTTCTGGGATAATTACTGATCACCAGTTTTTATAGTAAATGGGCTGTCTAAAAATAACTATACAATGGTAATTAACAAATAAAACATTAAGATCAAACAAATAAACCAAAAAGATATGTTTAAGCAGCTAATAAAACTGTTTATTTAAAATCAGGAATAAAGATTAACACTACAGCTCAGGCAGCAGCTCTCACACTGAAATTTTCATTTTCAATCATTAAAAGAAATTCACATTTTTGCTTTCTAGAAGCTTAGTATCCTTTTTAAGCTTATAATTTTTCACCATATTTATATTAGGTTAATTTATCAACTTAAAAATTGTTCTAACAATGTACACACATAAATTTAAGACAGAAGCAAGGTAAGACAAGCTAGAAATGGTGCATATCAGAACACATTTTTTTTGTATACAGTTAAAAACAAATTTTGTGATTATAGTTAAAATATATTTTATAGTTGCTCCACTTAATGAATATGAACTGTTATTTAAGAAAAGACAATTGACTATTTATCAGCTATTTTTTATACTATTTATAAGAAGAAATGACAATGATCAGGAATTACCCCAATGATCAATTTACCCCATCTGTAGGGGGCAACATTTGATATAGTTTCCTATAATCAATTATAATGTTTACAGTAGATGTGAAATAATTGAGCAAAAGCCTACACTATTTTTATATCAAAGAAAAAGAAAGTAACTCAAAATATTTATTATTAAGAGAAGGAGGAGGATCTTTGCAGAAATGTGCACATTTTGAAGCCCATCTTTGAAATGGAAAATACACAAAGCATTTTAAAATATACTTATTTTGTTAGATTAAACAAAAAACTGTTATTAAGTAAATGTAGTTATACTTTAGTAAAGTGTACAAGCATTCTTGTCCATGTCTCAAATTTAAAAAAAATATTATTTTTCTTAAATAAAACTTAGATGATCATTATTTACCCCAGAAACAGAGTGATCGTGATTACCCCAGGTCACCCTACAAAATATTTTTAAAAAAAAATAATTTTAGTTAATTTCAGTAGCTATGCTATATAAAAATGCACTTCTTAAATGCAAGCAAAACTAAATCCCATCTCTACAAATCTGATTAACTTCGTTTACATTTTCTCTACTACTACACAAAGTTAAACACTCTTATCTGCTCTTGATATATGTTAATTTGCATGTTGAGTAAAGTACAGGTTAAAATAGATTTTATGACAATTTTTGTAAAAAGGAATAAACAAAATAGTAAAAGAGAATCAGAATAAGTTTTAAGTTGGGTGTATTTTTATATTATAAAAAGCTGATAAGTAAAATAAAAAAAAACTAATCTAAATAATTCATATTTTATATTTGATTCTATAATATGCATTATTTTGAAAGTGGAAACATTAAGTATCAAGGTACCTTTTACTAAGATAACAGTATAAAGAAAATAGAATTATTAGATTAAAATTACAAAATTAGAATAAAATTACTAAATATAGAAAATCAAAAAGAAGTGCTATTAATTGAATTTACATAAAAGTTTCAGGTTGAAAATTTTTAGAGGAAATAGGGTCAAAGAAAGACTAGATTTTGTTAAATAATTTCGCACTGGGTCAAAAAGAAATTTTACATTTTATTGAGTTACTCTTAAAAGTCTGATAATTTTTTTTTACAAAAATAAGAATTCATAGGGCTTGGAAAAGAAATTTCACCCGCCCCCGAGGACGGCTTGCCCAACAATGTACCCATCCTCCTTTGAAACTAACCCGTCGCTTCTAAATAAATAAAAATATAATTGTTTCTTACTTGTTACTAACAATTATATAAATTGCACAATCAATTAGTAGTTACTAGGATTACAAATACTAGGATAACATTATATGGTAATAAAAGAAATATTAGGTTACCAATAGTAAAACCTAGTATTTCTTTAATGAAATAATTTAAATAACAAAGGTCAAATTATCTGTCAATTATCATGTCAATTTATCCGACGATACTGCATTTTTTAAATGAATCAAATACGATGTTTGCCAGTTCCCCAATCAAGCCAATGATTTACATAGGTTTCTGCACAGAAATCTGAAAGAGGTTTTTCATTTAGGTAGATGTTCATAATTGCGGTTGACGCTTCTTGTTTAAGACCAGCACGTAATGTGTCTTTTTGTTAAGTTCATTGCTGAAAAGCCCCTTTCAACCGTTGCAGTACTCCCAGACAGAGAAAACCTAAATTCCACCATGCGCAGTATGTTGCTGTANATCCTTTCGAGATTAGAGGGTCATTTTAGAAGTGAGGAGCTAGACTCTTGTAAGATAAAAAAAATTGAAAATATATCACGAACATGAACGGGAAAATGGCCGTCCGAGCGGACGTTGGATTGTAGAAATTTGTTGTCCGCGGGGAATTTTTGATCCCCGAGAGCGGACGGTTTTTCGAGCCCTGAGAATTCGTCAATCTAATTTTTTTTTTAAAATTAAATTTGCATTTGATATAAGTATTATTGTTATCAGTATCTAAACACTTTATACAGTAGGGAACTGATCATCCGGAACGATCGGGACCACCGCTATTCTGGATAACCGATTTTTCCGGTTTTCTGAATCGATACAAAAAGTAGTTTTTTTTTATTGTTAAACCCAACTAAAAAATATATATATACTTGGAAATAATCTTAAAAAGAAGAAAAAATGATGTAGTAATACACTAATGATTATTTCCAAAATGATGGTAAGGTAAACATTTTTCAAAAAAGAAAGAAAAATCCTAAAATCTTATGAGGAAAAAAACTTTTTTTAAAAATTATGGCAGGAAAATGTATTGAATTTCTTTCCGGTTTTTTGATTTCCGGATAACGGGTTCTGTACTGTACTAATTATAAACTATAAGTTAGTAAAAATTTTAAATTTAGAGACTTAGTAATTTCACGTAAAATATGACAGTTTAAGTTTCTGATCTAAATGCATTTCTTACACACAATTAAAACAAAAACACATAATTTAATAACTACATATAAATTACATTCAAACACTTATAACTACATTTAAACACTGATTACAACACCAAGTTTATGGTCGCCTATCCTGGTTGCTCTAACTGGAACGCTAAGGTATAAATATAATGGCTTGCCAAGAGGTAGCTATGAATTTTACACAACAAGTTAGTCAATTATGTTAAATATTTCTTGCAATCCACAATTGGTTGTAACCAAAATTTAATGACCATTTCGGCAAAATATCATTAAAGGAAATTAATCCTACCTTAATCAAAAACATAATAAACTTTAAAATTACCTACGATAAAGAGAAAATATGGAATTATTTACAAATAATATTTATGCTAACTAAAGCATAATACCTAAAAAAAACAAAAATTTTAGAATAAATAGATTTTAATTATATAAATACCAAAACAATATTAAATTATAAACTACCAATACACTACACGTTACCAAAACTACAGAATTGAAATGTCAACAATATATTCCAATTATGATTTTGACTTGAATATAAAATGTTTTTTTTTTTTAAGTTAAGATATTTTTGAATCCATAATTTTGAATAATAATAGATAATGAATTCATAACATATTCTTTAATATGAAAATAGAGAACACTGAATTTATTTTTTAAAAAAGGAAAATTTTCAAAAAGAAGAAGTCTGTAATTGGAATTCTATAAATAGGGCTTACTTCATTCTTTATTCAAATTCTCAAGTAAACATTATACCAAATTTTTTTTTTATTTTCTTAAGATTTTAATAAGAAACTTTCTACATTTTAGGGAATTATCGTAAATGTGTAAGAAAAAAAAAAAAAAACTGGAGAGTAGTAGCTATGCAAATTATATATAAACTGCAATTCATCAAAAATTTTGTAATTCTATATTGGTACTGGTTCACATCACCTGAATTGCCTGATTTTAAAATTAATGCACAAATTTGAAAAAATGCATATAGTGGGTTGCTTTGAGTTAAATAAGTTAAAATTTAGAAAAATTTAACACATTCTATGATGTTTATTTTAAACAGTGTGCGACCAACTTGTTATGGCTAAAACTTGGCCACCATTTTGATAAACGTATGGATAAGTAAACTTTGTCCTCTATTTCCCAAAATTTTTGGGCAAAGAGGATAAAGTGACACTTATTAACAATGTTATAACAACAGTCAAAATGAAATTCATAAATAGAAAAATTAATGCAGAGTGACATTTAATCATCGCATAAAAACATTTAAAATGAATCCAACCTTCCTAATATATTTTTTTCTTCCCAACAGTGGGTGCTTAATTTATCTCCAATACCTTGCAACTAATATATTTAATTAAAATATAGTTGTTAATGCCAATAATATAGTTCTCATTCATAAAATATCTAACACTAAATAAATACCTTAAATAATTGAAATTGTATTTATTTTTAATGCCCATAAATTTAATAAAAAAATATAGCACAACAGGGGAAGGAATTGGGCATAAAAATGAAATTATCTATATTTAAAAAACTAACAACTAATATTGAAAGTAAGTTATCTTAATGAAATAAAAAAAATTTTCTTAGAAAATATTGCATCCGAAACCTAAAAAGGAGAATATTAATTTATTTAACGCTAAGCATTAATTCCTTTTGAAGTTTTCCTCATGACAAAAATTTTATAATTATCATTTTTCACAGTACTAAAAGCAAATAAAATTTAAATAAAGCCCACAAAAATCATTTCATTTTATTTATATATCAAATTATTAAAACCACTAGATAGATATAATTTCTTTTCTTCCATAAATAAGAGGATAAAAAATACATAAATAAGTAGTATTTTCTTTTTTTGAAAATAAATTAAGTTTGCTTCTTTAAAATAAACTCACATTCCAAAAAAACAACTCCTGTCATGCTATTTATTTTTGAGAAGAGCCCGTTTCTTTAACAGGTTTCATTAATTTATACACAGAAAAGCTTACTAAAACACCATGTTTATCAATAAAAATTGACTAATCGATCAGTGCTAATAAGTCTGTCTCGGTTTATTGGTCAAAACTTTTCAGACGTCACTTTCATAACAACTTTTACCTTCTAATCTGGGGTTTTGTATAAACAATGTTAAAAGTGTTGAGTTTCCTTTTGGCTCTGATTCACAAAGTATAAGTGCAATTTTGTCGTTTGTAGATGGTCCCTAATCGTTATGACAGAAAAATTACGACGGTTACAATCAACTTAGATTCGATAAAATATTTCCAATAATTCTCAGAAATATCCAGTAAGGAAGAAAATGAATGTATATGATTCGATTCGTTCAAAAATCACAGTACTATAAATTAATTTCAATGACTACATGCATTAAATATCTCAATTTAAATAAGCATAGGAAGATACGAGCAGAAATAGACAGCAAAATACGTACAATACAAAATCGATGATTGCGTGCGTTTGTTTTAAAAATGTACACAAGTAAAAGACATTTAAAATAGCACTTAAATTTTGTTTTCTTTAATTTATATTCTTTCAATGAGTGTTAAATATATTTATTGATTATGAGATTTTATACATCCATTACTTCCTGTATACGCTATGATATCTAAGCAGTGTAGACATAGGCAATGAATAAAATAACTCATTGACGTAAATGACAAAATGTATATCTGTAAGAGCAATTATTTAAGATCGTTTCTAGATTGTGGATTTTATTCATATAAATCTATTTATTTCATATTGAAGAAAAATCTTTTTGACATTTGTGTCAGGAAAATATCTATATTATTAAACACTGTCTTGAATTTATAAATTTATTGGATATATGAAGTGCCTGCTATCATATATCCAAAGAAAAAAATACTAGCGTTTATTCAATTTATGCGTTAATAAAAAAAGTATTCATGCAGTTTGTGTTAAAGGTTCATTCACTATTTATACTTATTGTATTGTCACCTTCTTGCTATCAATGTAAATCACTTCTTAGTGTGCATTATTAAATCATTAATCGATAACATACTCTAATCTTTTATGCAGTTAGTACCTCTTAATCTTTTATACAGCTTTGTTAATGAAAAATCTTGGGGTCGGATAGCCTGGGTGGTAGTACACTGAGCTCATGTCAACGAGATCGTGGGTTTGATCCCCGCTGGCCGAAGACTCCCCGTGTAGTGAATGGTGACTGATGCACGTTAAATCTGTAAGGTCACAAAGTCCTCGATGTTCCCATAACAAATCAATACCTCTGTGGGTATACTGATCCAGGGGCTCCTTTGTCCTCTGGATTTGGATCAAGTTGAACATTGGTAGTCGTAAACCCAGAATTAGGTTGTCTGTTTAACAGCAGTTATAAAATGAAAAATCTTGAGTGTGCTTAGAGTTTTTCTTAGGAATAAAAAAGGCAGCGTTGTTCCTCTCTGAAAAGGGCACTCACTTAACACCGTAAAATGTATCAAAATGTGTAATATTATGTATTAATTGAATTTTATCTTCAACAATTTTTTAAATTACCCTCTTGTACTGTGTTTTTGTGTACATTTAAAAAAGTAATTCTCTCTCATTATCAACATAAGAGAAAATTTTGTAGTTGATAAAAATAATTAAAGGCATGCTAAAAGGCAATCTCTGTGCATATATATTTTTTTAATAAAAGTAAACTGAAAAAAAAAATGATTAATTGATAAGCCGCTTAAAAATTTCTTCTATAATTTAAACTAAAAATTGTGAGAAAATAAGCCTATAACAGTGAATTTTTTTTTGAAGAACGAAAGCTATTTAATTAAAAAATAGTTTTAAAATCACTTAAAAATTTATTAATATCCCCCACTTGAAAAAAGATGCTTATAAAAATTTAACCAGTTGAGAATAATCCTAACAAAGTAAATATTTGTAATAGTAATCAGAATTAAGACTATAAACGTAGATAATTTTACCAGTGTGTAATAATTATTAGAACAGTGAATTAATTTTTTTCCAAATGGAATATGAATGAAAAGGCAGTGTTTTTAAGGGATGACAGCCTATTTTTACAAAGAGGGGATATTTATTAGGATCAAAGGGCAAGCATGGCGGGCTGCCCTTCAAAAGATGCGTAGGAAGAACACTGACTGTGCTGTACGTATCACAAACTTGACAATCTCATTTTTACTCTCATTATTGTTATATATTAATAGCTGATAACTCAATTCTGATTCAACATTACCCAAATTATTTGTTACACTAAATTGCAACGTTATTAAAGCAGTGCATATGGTAAAACATTTGGTCATTAATCATTATATTGTCTTTAAGCAAATAATTTTATTTTTACAGTTCGTCTGTGTTAAACATTCATACATTATTTTTTATTTTTGATTGATTTTTTATTACATGATACTTAATGATATGATAGCATATCATCATCACTTTTTAAACGTGGCATAACCTAAAAAAGCTATGATAATAACCAATATACAAACAAATCTATAAACATAGTATTAAAATTTATTTCTAATGCCACAATTAAAAAGTGAAACAGCTTTAATCATTCTTATTATTAGTAGAATATATTACAAGGATTTTTAGATTAAGAATATATTTAATAATATTGCACAATAAATTCAGTGATGTTTTTTAAGCATTTTGGCGCTTTTAGGCCGTATCGTATAGTTATTGTTATTAAATTAAATAAAGGAAACTTACTCCTTTTAAATTTAAGCAAATAATATTTTTTTATAATTAAACCATTTTAGATGTTTGTTTGATGATTTTTGTTTGATCCATTTGTTTGATGATTTTTGGTATCAGCCTACTTTGATTGTTTTTCTAACCCTTTCCTTTGGCTGCTTTCATATCGTATTTTTTGTGTGATAAAAAGTTACAAATTTGAGGAAAGGTCAAGTCCAAAATTTATTGTTATTTTTAAGTTAGTCCCATGATGGGGTGACATTGTACGATTTTAACCTAATTGTTTATTTGAATTACCCTATCCGTATTTAAGTTACTATTTACCGATGGAGATTTCCCACGGTAATTTTATTTAATCAAGGACTTTGAAATGCTCTATAAATCTAATTTTCGCCCTCTCTCTTGATTTTAATTTTGAATGACGATAAGCATCACAGCATTGTTGACAAATATTTCTGTTAAATTTGATTTGAGGCTTTCATACTATTATTTTTAGTAAAATTAGTTTAGATTTCCAGCCATATTTCTCATTTTGCAGAAAAACTTAATTCTTTTAACATTTATTACTTTTAAGAAATAAAACTAAACTAGCTCTTAAAATGCTACTCTCTTGTAACATAGATAAATTTTTTACAGTTAAGTATTTAATTGAAGATAATTTATTCAAAGGCAATATCAACATAATATAAAATCTACAACAGAGAGTGGCTTGCCGAAAATTAGAACTATTTATATTGATACGAAACCTTATTCTTGTAATGTAATCAGAGTTTTTCAACAAATTATTTTATTTCCTATAGTTATATTTATGAAGTAAGCGAAGATAGCTCCTTTGAGATACTAATATTTTATTCTACATATTTACATTTATATACAAGTTGGTTTGATTTACAAGAAGCATCATCACAGCAGGTGATGAGAGAAATACTGACAGGCTGTTGGAACGTTGGAAATGAATAGTAACTCAGTATTCGGCGCGAAGCGCCGCTAACTGATTCATCTAAATTTACTAGGCACAGATTAGGTAGTCATAAATTGAATAGGTACAATGATATGATTGAGTGAAAAAAGGATTGGAGAGACTCCATTTAAGAGATAAATCTATATACAAGCACTAGCACAGTTAATTAGTTAATTATTTACAGGATGAATAATATTAATAAGCAAAAAATATTAAAGTCAAGATAAACTATATACAAAATTATTTACAAATTACATGAATAGATACGAAATTATTTACATTATAATACATGTGGTAATCTAGGTAGCTAAAAACCATTGGTATTATTGTTAATATAGTGACCCGGCCGTCCCGGCAAGTCACCGCTCGTGCCGGGTTGCTCACTATTCTTAGGCTTACAGATCTCTGGCTCCCCTGGATCGGACCCTGCGAACAAGGTTGCTCCTTCACCAGGTTTACCAGAGTTCAGGTGTAGATGTGTTGTTTGCGTGTGTAGTGTGAATTGGGAATCATGGGATG